AACCACTGAAACTGTGTCTGGAGTTAAGCAATCGATGTCTTATCTTGGTCATATTTACTTGGAAATTTAGTTTGATTATACTCGTAGTTGTATATATTATATTCAATTTTATATGTATATACTAGTGACCTGCGCTCACTTTACTAAGAAACTTATTTCCAAATTGTTGCAATTGACGCCTCTAGATTGTATACGCTATTATAATTGGTATACTAAAATTTAGCCAGATAACGTAATTAACCACAACCAAAACAACGTAATTAACCACAACCAAAAAGTAAAAAACACGTATTTTTACAAGGTTATCAGCTGTAAGCAATTAAGTACAGACAAACAGAGAGGCTGTTTTGTAATGAAGAAGAGTATTTATATTTTTTTCAAATTATTCGCCACTCTTTTAAGCAGTCGTTGGCAGCGTTTAATCGATAGACATTGGTATTATTTTTAGCTTTTGTATGTTTGCTTGAACACTCTTATCTCAGAAACCACCAGTCCGGATTTGTGAGGATATTTAGGACCATAAATAAATAATAATATTCTTCTAACCGATTTCGGCCACGGCGACCAATCTCAGTATAATAGTGCACTCTTTATTGCTTATTATACGAGTACTTTATTACGACCGGTGAGAGTTAAGGTGCAGGACCGACGGCTTTACGTGCTCTCCGAGGCATGGGGTGCAATACCCCCAATTTCGTAACTCCGGATACTATTGAGAATATCTTAACAGAAACCACTCACCCTCGCTTCATTCTGATTCGTCCCTTGGTATGTTTTTGACGCTTAGTACGGAATAAATAGAATATATGTATAATTGCTAGTAATGCATTACTAAACTATGCAAACAAAGCCGTAGGTAACGCAAGTTCGTTAGTAAAAGCCGTAAAACAAAATCAGTGATAAAAACACGTAAAAATAAAAATTTATTCAAAAAGTGTTTCGGACATAAACTGATGGGTGTATTAATGAAATAAGGCAACAATATCGGTTATTTTAATGAAAAACATCTCTCATTCGAAAAAGATATTTTTAAGACGCCTCAGATGAAAAGCTGAAATTCACTCGGGCAGAAAATTGGATGCTTCAGAACGCTTAAATCGATGGCCTAATTTAGAAAAGGTTCATGTTTCCTTATGTTTCCTTTAGCTATATGCCCTTTTAAATGTTCATTCGTAATGGAGATATGTATTGATAGAGAGTAATTTCCAATCGACTTTCATGAAAAGGTATTAAACTATAAAGGAGTAAAGCATCAAAGCCAAAGTAACAGCTTTGAAAACGATAAGTTCCTTTGTATAAAATATCCGCAAATTAAATAGCGTTATTTGGTTGCTATAAAGATTTGAATTTGTCAATATAATATAGAAAATCAATATACTATAATAAAGAAACTTGTAAACGAAAATTAATTAAAAGTTTCAAAGAAATGATCCAAAGTCTTTCAAATTCACATATTTTTTAATGTTCCACTTCTAGGCATGGGCCTACGCTTTACGTATGGGGGAATTGGCATCAGCTAAATGGAAGTTAACAGACTTCATGCATGCCTTTTGAAAAGTAGTTAAGTTTTTTAAGCATGCTAGTTTCCTAACGATGCCTTTCTTTGCCCTTATAATATACTTAAAATGAGGTTAGCACATGAAATTCTCAGAGCTCTGAAACCAGGAGTTCAAATCCGTTTTCATCTGTTTCTAAAACTAGCTTACTACTCGTATAAATGATCTATATAGTGTTAGCATAAAATAATAATGAATTCGTGTATTAGTTCGTAGTATTTTTATGGATTTAACCCAGAAAATGAGCAGAAAAATCATTGAACAGTTTTTTTTGTTCTTATTTATATTCTTTTCGTATCTATATAGAAACTGGATTTATCGGAGTTAAAAGTACTTTATAAAGCTGTTCGGCCCATAAATTATTACAAGTACAGTAATATAAAAAAAATGTAAATTTCGGAACGAAAAAATCATTACCATACTGAAAGTTAATTGAGCGCATCCCACTTTTTCTTCATCTTAAGAACGGTTGATCATACGAAATATTATAATGAACAAATTCGGCTAGAGTTTAATACTCTATAACTTTTGCAATGACCTCAAAACTCATTCTAAGCAAAAAAAAAACAAGATACAAACAAAATTTCAGTAGCCCTTGATCTCTGACAACTTGTAAGTAAATACTATGAGTCTTTTAAGCCCATAAATAATTATAAATTGTCAAAGCAAAGCTGCATAAGTTTATAGCTACTTTCCATACTAAGATCGAAATACATATTATTTTGGTCTATATATAACTCTTAAGTAAGTTAAACCGATACGTTGCTTTGTTGTAACATGAAAGTAAGACAAATCTTTCAGAAGGAAAACAAACAAACAAACAAATAAGTTTTTTGTCGAATCTGTACATTAAATATTTTTTGGAAAACGTTATTAAAATTGTCATTATATTTAATACAGAGGCCTAATCTGTAGTTTTTAGAATATTTTATCTGTCTGTCTGGAAACGAATCACGAAAAAACCACTGGACAGATTTTGATGAAATTTGGTATGATAATAGCTGGTTATCTGGATTAACATATAGGATACTTTTTACTACGGGACAATATCTCATCTCTGAGAAATCAATACTTACCGTTAAAACGTACCTAGGAACGAATCCGAGGTATAATGCAAAAGAGAATAAATACAAATTTGACTCATAGTTCCAGATTTTAGCGCATTCAAACAAACAAAAATGTAAAAGTCATTTTTATTTTTAAGTTGTTGGTATTGATAATGTAAGAATTTCTTCATTTTATCAAGAATTTTGTATATAAAAATTCTTTAGCATTATTGAATATGATATCTAGATATTTTCAATACATAGTGTTATAAAATATTAAAATCCAAAGACATTTTCTCCTTAACGTTCACATAACTAATACGAAATCGTCGACTATATGAGGGAAAGTACGTTTATTATCTGACCATCTTAGGTGAGTTTCAGCCAATTTCTCGGTTCAATGCGTTTACGAACAAAACGGTAGTTTCAAACTGATTTTATATGAAAACTTTCTTGGAGGTGAGAGATAAATTGGAGTTAAGTTTCAAAGTTGTTTGGATTTTCTTGATGCCAATTCCTTTTAGTTTATTTTTTCATTTAACTTCAATAATTTGATTTTTAAGTTAAGAATCTGTTTGTTTGTGCACAAAATATCTATTTACAAGATTTTTATAATATCACCTAAAGGTAAATTTCTAAGAAATCTGTTGTTAACTGACACGCCGGCGTGTCCGCGGTCGTAGAGGAAATAAAAAAGGATTAAAAAAGTTGCCTGGAATAGAAGTTCATATTATCTGATTTTTTATTTTGTTTTTAATATATTCTATTTAATTTTACTTTACTTTAAAAATATTACTTATCTTTCTATAACATATTAATTATTTTCTAAATTCTTCCAAATTGTTGCATAATTTTATGGGTAAATAACCGCGATAAAATCCAAAAAGATAGTTTCATTTAAAATATATTTGCGTAAATCTAATAAAAAATACTAATATAATATTTTTTTGAAAATTGCCTATAACTTCTTTTAATTATGTTTGTAAACATTATAATTTTAAACAAAAAAAATGAATTAGTTTTAAATACGTAGAAGATTCCAATTTCCAAGACTTTGACTATATGATTATTGTCACTTTGCTTATATTTTTCATGTGTTGTAATAAGTTTTCAAAAATATGAAGTATTATGCATTGCAAGTATTAGAACTCAAGAAGTTTTAAGTTTCCAGGCGAAAAGATGAGGGGAAAAAATAAAATAACATACAAAGTTCTAACATTTATATTTTCGAAATTTAATTTCTAGTAAATCGAAAGATTTACACATTGAATTATTCGTAAATAAACATTAAACAATCAGTCTTTTTGAAGATAAAGTTTTATTCTACAACATTTTCTATAGAAGCATAATTACATCTAAAATATATAGCTATTATTTCTATAGTTACAAAAATCTTAACATGAGTATGAGATCAAAACGTTTATTTTACATGTAACTGCTTACTTTAAACGACAGTTAAAATTTCAGTTAAACAAAGAGTTAAAATGACTAGATTTATTTGTAAATTTATTTGCTAAATAAATAACGGCAGTGAACACACATAGAGTTGAACAAATATTCTTCATAGATAAACTGCAAATTACCATAGGAAAGATGTACATTTTTATTTCATAAGAATTAAAATTAAATGAAAAAGCTAAAAATTTACATAGCAAAATTCTCGACTACGTCAGACAATATTATGTTTCATGAAAAATCCCATCCATTATAGTTTGTGATATATAAGAAATGTTAGAATCATTGTTATAATAGAAAACAAATCTTTTTCTATTATTTTTTATTATCTCCAAAATATTACTTTGAAAATTTTAAATAGATAAAAAAAATAATTAAAATCATTAAAAAAATTAATATAAATAAATAATAAAAAAGATCAGTATTGAATTATTTATGTTAGAGATCTACCTCCACAAAACTAATTCTGATAATGATTTGATACTTTAGGTGTATATTACAAAAATGTTATATTATTTTAATTAGTTTATAAAATAAAACTATTTAAAATATCAAATATTAATATTGTATCATCTCGGATAGTTTTTTCTCTTTTTAGAAAGAATATCTTTGGTGTTTAATAAAAATAAAACAAATTATGAATTTTCTCCTTTTTAAAATCGGTTAAAAATAACTCAAATCTCAGCTTCTATAAAAATTAACTAACAAATTATATAGTTGTTTCTTGAATTATAATTACGGTTATGGTAATCGTTGGTTAAACAATTAAAATCCGTTTGAATATAAAAGAGAAAAAAAACTTATTTACTCAAAAAATATGATTTTTAAATTATTCATATTATATTGTAGTTTAAATACTAAGATGTCGAAGTTGAACAAAAATAAAATTAATCATTGATTATAGTCAAGTTTCCAATTCCTAAATTATGCTTAAAAATCTTTACAAATACTCTTTATATATTATTATATATTTTAACTGCCTCGGTGGTGTAGTGGCTAGCATGTACGGCTGCACACCCGGAGGTCCTGGGTTCGAGTCCCGGGTCGGGCCAAGTTTAGTTATTGAGTCTTCCTGTATAGAAGGTCTCAGTAACAGCCCGGAGTTGGGAAGTTGGCGGTGTTTCACCCCCGTGCCTCGGAGAGCACGTAAAGCCGTCGGTCCTGCGCCTAAACTCTCACCGGTCGTGTCGAGTGGTCGTCCCACCGGAGTATGAGAGTGATAGGAATAGAGAGTGCACTTGTGTCTGCGCGTACACTTGAGCACTATAATATCTCCTGCGCAGTTGGCTAATCTCATTGAGATTGGCCGCCGTGGCCGGAATCGGCTAGGAGAACATCATCATATATTATTATTAACGTATATAAAATAATTAAATATACTTTACTTATTATGACAACTTTTATAATTATGGAAGATATTATATATTTAACGATATAGATTATGTGTGGATTTAATATAATAATGAAGCAATGAACAAGAAAATTGAATTGAATTAGTATAATAATTTAATGCAATTTTGGTAAAATTAAAATATCTGAACTCATATTGTTTGGATGTCATTGTATTTATCATATATTTTTCAAATATAGTTAATAAAATAAGATAAAATTACAATTTTCATACGTGAAACCACCACACAAATGTTATTTAAAAGATGATATGCAAATAATTTGGTACTAAATTTCAATTTCATAAGTTCCTTTGAAAGAATAATTCGTATAGATATAATATTTAAAATGCAACTCACTTGAGAACTTTTACTTTTTAAATGTTTTTTCGTACCTTCTCCATTCTACGTGACATTGGCGAAGTAAAAGCACGCTTTGAAGCCATTAACGAGAAAATTGACCAAGAATTGGATACAAATGCTTTTTTTAAAATAATAATTAAATTAAAAAAAAAACAGAAACCTTATTTCGTAAAAGTAATCAAATTAATATATTATTAAGTTACTTTTGATATATCTTAATCTAAACATACAGAAATATAAAAAAATAAGCGACGAATTTTAAAAAATCACGTAATATTAAGTTAAAATTTAAAAATATCTTAACATCTAACAGTAACTTACATGTATTGATACGAACACAACCATTAAAATAATTATTAACAAATTTTAGTTACACTGTAAGTCGGCTACCTGTGGTGCGGAACTCTGCACGCTTCTGAAAAAGATATTCATTTTGGACAAACTTTAATCATTTCCATCATAATACATAGTCTATATTAATATTATAAAGAGGTAAAGTGAGGTTGTAGGGGGGTAATCTATGGATCTACTAAACCAATTTAGATGAAATTTGATAAAAAGGTGGTTTGAGACCCTGGAAAGGATATAGGATAGTTTTTATTCCAGAAATCATCCCTTAAGGGGGTGAAAATGGGGAATCAAACAAGGGACGAACCCGAGCGAAGCGTGGGCGAGTTCTTAGTACTAAATAAAGATGTAAAAAAGGAAAATAAAGGAAAAAGTAAGATTATGTTAATCACCAGATGATTTAGGTTTTATTGTAACTTTAATTTGTATTCCAAAAAAGATTACATCAAGTGTTTAGACAAGATTTTAGGCCACAGATTGATATGAACCAAATTTACTTACTTCGTGGTGCACTTTTTAAGGTGGTTGTTCTTGAAACACAGTCGCTTTCTTCTGATTCTGATCTCATTTGAAAGCTTGTTTCTGAAAAATGAAATAGTATTATTATAATTAATTAAATGATTTTATAATGAGTTGTAAAATACCAACATTGCTTATAAGTTATAGATAAATTAAAATTTCAGAAGTCATTTTATGCCGAAACGCTGTTCTCTCTGCTTGTAAAATGTAAATCAATAGTTTTTACCTACATTTTTTTTAAAGAAATCCTATTTAGTTTTATTTATTTCAAGACCAATTAGCAACCAATAATTTAAAATAATAAAATATTTTTCACACTGAATAATGAGCTGACTCGACAGATATTATCTTGTTCGTTCAATAAACTTATCTATTTTTGAGATTATTTTGAACCCATCTTAAAAACAAGTTTGTCGTAAAATATTCAGTGTACAACTTTGTTTTCTTTACAATTTTAATTTAATGCTTAGTTATTATATTGATAGAACATACCACTATCATATCTCTTGCTATTTCCAGGTAACATTCTGGCGGGTGCTTCTTGATTGTCCACGTGACCGAATGTTCGAAATCCGATAGCGAATTGCGCGTACGGACTTATCTCATACAGTTCTATAACAAAACATATTATTTATTATACTGTTGAGTAGTTGAGTTTTTTGAATGTTTTTGCAACAAAATAGCAATCTGGAACTATTATCCAAGACAGGAAGAGTTAATAGGGAAGAGTTAGTGAGAAAGAAAAAAAAAACACTTTCCAGAAAGGGATTAACGTTACGAGAATATTTCTCAATTTTCGATTATTAGAAGCTTTTATTTATATAAATATAAAATGGCGGTAGACTATTGAATGATCAGGACTAGTAAGAAATGAAAGAAGTGAAGTGTAAACAAACAAACTAAAAACAAAACTATTTTTTGTTAAATCTATTAGATTTCTAAACTTCTGTAGTGTAAGTGAATATAATCTAGGTTTTATTGAGTTTTTTGTATGGATACCCACCATGCTTAGCATCAGCAGTGAGGTGTACAGGTGTACTGTAAACCCGACTATTGTCAGGTGCGGGTTGTGGGACGCGCTCTGCTTTACATTCTCCGGTTAGGGAGTTTCTGTATTCTGTTAATCTTTGATGGCTGAAATGATTGAGAAAATAATTGTTGTTATGGATAGTAATAACAACATTTAATATGCACAAAATACACTTTTTTCATAATAATGACTTAGCTCTTTTGAACGTCTCACTGCTAAGCACGAGGAGAATCAGACCATGGTCCACAACGCAAGCCAAGTGTGATTTGGCGGACTTTAATAAGATTTACTAGGTTTTGTCAGACATGCTGGTTTCCTCACGATATTTTCCTTCACCTTATCAAATAGCAATCTTGGTAGACAACGCTGATTTTAGAGGTTGCTTGTTTTTGCACCCTTAGTAATAATATAAGCGGAAAATTTAACACTAATATAAAATAATATAGTAATAAATAAATACATATATAAAAAAATAACTTACTTATGTCGTTTTACTAAAATATAGAGGCAAGTGAACAAGCAAATGAGCAGCAAGATCGAGCTGCAAACAATCACTAGCATATTGATATCGTAGTAGTCTGTGGGAGGTCCTATCGCCTCTGAAACAAAAAAATGTCTTTTAATAAAATATTTTATGTTGATACTAAAGACTCACCCTCCCTTCGCTTCAGGTTCGTCCCTAGGTAAAAACAAATGTATCCCACGGGAACCGTACATTTTTCCAGGATGATATATAGCTTTCTTTAATATACGGGCTATATAATGCAAAAATATTTTTTCAAAATGGTTTAGTAGTTCCTAAAATTAGCGCGTTGAATCAAACAAACAAACAAACTCTGCCTCTTTATAATATTAGTATAGATTTTAATAGTTGATTCACATATTATTTTATTAAAATAAAATGCCTTAAACGTATAGTAAAAATGTAATAGTACATTAAGTAAGCAAAATTCATTGATATAAAATGTATATTATAATATCTACCAGTATACTAAACCTAACAATAATAATATGTTTCTTCGAAAATCTTCATGCGGTAACATTCGGTACAACTGTATTACAAGTCTTTCCCTTTTTAGAGTTCCGTAACCAGAAGGTAAAAATGGAACCCTTATAATTTTAAGTTTGTATGTCAACGCCATTTTACTCGTGATTATTTGACCAAAATTGCTGAGGTAGGTAGGTGTCTTATGTGAAAGATAATTCTAACAAATTGCAAAAATTAAAAAATAAATAAAATGTGGGCGTAAAAATAAAAAATAATATATCTTACCCCCTTGTACAGTGGTAGTAGCATACATATAAACAGCCGCGTCTACGCCTGCCGCGTTCTCAGCGAGCACGCGTAGTTGGTACCACCGCGCTGGTACTAAAGCAGATATGACGAAGGAATTCGGAGTTACCAGTGGGCTGTTCCATACTGGGTCTATTGGCTGTAAGAATAATATTTTTTGTAGAATATTTTAAATAGATTCTCCAAGGCACAAGAGCTACGTATACGTTAAAAGATTTTATTTAAATGTTCCATAATTGGCATAGTTTGTAGTATTTCAATATTTCCTATATAAATAAAAATGAATGTTCGTACGTTTCTCCTCTATGCGTTCCTAAGCTAATGGTCCGATTGTCATGAAACTCTGGTAGGTTATCCTGAATACACCTGCGAATGTGCCTGACGCAAAAAAAAAAAGTTTTTTGGACGTTTATTTTATATGCGTTAAAAACTATTCAAACTTAGGGAGGCATCCGAGCGACACGAGCTTATATAGCTACTAAATATATAATAATAGCGTCCTATTGACCAATTTTAGATATGATGACTAATATCATTACTAACACAACTATTCTCAGGTGCCGGATCAACTGTCTAACATTCCTTAAGATAGCGCACATCTTGAATTAATATAGAGGCTCCTTTTAATGGATAGTAGACACCTACCGGTGTCACGCGAGCACAATCGAATATAAAACTAGATCTATACGCTATGAAAGTAAATCATGTCATAATGACACATACATACATGATTTATATGTAAATTAATCTACACTACTATCTATACTTAATATTATAAAGAGTTAAAGTTTGTGAGTTTGTGACGTTGTAGGGGGTAATCTCTGGATATACTGAACCAATTTAGATGTAATTTGGTAAGAATATAGTTTGAAACCCTAGGAAGGTCATAGAATGTTTTTTTTTCCAGGAAATCATCCATTAAAGGGGTGAAAATGCGGATGAAAGTTTGTAGGGGAATCAACCTAGGAACGAACCCGCGTGAGGCGAGGGTGAGTCACTAGCTTTATTTATATAGAGATTCTTATTAGTTATGTATTTTATATTACCAACTAAGTTTCACAGACTAATACAAGTCATATTAGGTCTCCGTACAAACTGTAACATGTTCGTATAAACAGTACTTTATACAAAACTTACTAATCTATTCTCCGCTCGTCTCCACAACTTCCCTCCATATTCTCTATAATCGACTTCCCACCTTGTAATTTCACATCCATTATCTTCCCATCCACTTAGCTGTATGTATATGTGCGTCGCGTTACTCCAGAACCATTCAGTTGTTGTTGGTGATATTGGAACTGAAAATTATAATGTAAAAAAATAATTGGGAATTATAATTCATAAGCCAAATAAATTCTGAATGACTGTGTTAAAATAAAAACTAACTATGATATTCTTAGCAAGATACACAAAAGACGTAGTGGTTTTTTGATAATAACGCATGCTTTCGCACATCCAATCGTAGCGTAATGTCTAGCACTGCTTAGGCTACACTATATACTAAATTCTTTATATCCTCGTAATTATAAAACCATATGCTAATCCTAAATATCTATTTTTAATAAATGAAATTTTATATCTAGTTCTGGTTAATTAAGGCCCTAAAAATAACAAATTACCTTTACTGAAAAATGTGCATCAACCTTAAAATCATATAATTAATAATTCCCTCAGTAACCATTCCATTTACAGTAATTCCATTTAAAATAATTTTTTAAATTCATATATTAACAGATTAACTGTCCGCAAAATAGACACAAGTTTAACAATCGAAATGTTCATATTGACTCATGGGACAGGGAAACGGTTAAAGTCCAACCTACTCATCAAATAATATAAATATCGCTTTACCATGAAAGAAAATGTTGCGTAACATATAAAAACAGAAACAGAATATTTTTACCGGCTTTTTAAAATCGGCGAAATATTTAAAGATTTAAAGATCCTCCTCCTTATAACATCAACAACCTACCAGTCTAAGTGCCGTCAAAATAAGCCCAGTCCTTTCGGAGATTAGCCGGAACAAACAGACAGACAGACAGTTTTTTTAAATTATGTTTTTCTTATAAATACCGTTTACAATTCCATATGCATTTATTAAAAAGCTGTTATTTTGACATTACAAACAGATACTTCAATTTTATTTATCTGTATAGATAATAAATCAGTCCAAAATGATTAATAAAATTTACCTCCACCCAAAGTCATGGCATCGACATACGCCGGCTGTGAAGCACCAACACTATTAGCAGCTGTCATTCTCAAAGAATATTTGGTACCACATTTCAGTCCTTCTAGAGTATACTCTTGCACTCCTTGCACGGTGACGCCTTTGTCTGACCACGTGTCTTGCCACGCGACATTCGCTTCTTTCCAAGTTAGCTCGTATACTATAATATAAAAAATTGGTGATGTAAGTCCAGTAACTTTAAATAACCTTTATATAATTAATATATATAATTGTTTAATAGTTCTAACTGGTACTGATTATATGATAATAATTATGTATTATAATTAAAAAAAGTTAAAAATCAGCCATTAGAAATTCTCCATTTGAACGGAACTTTTGGGCCTAAGATAACTAGACGGATGATATTCATTAAAGATGAATTTCATGTCGCTCGATAGTGTAAATGTTATACAGCTTGCATTGATACCGGTAGTATGACTCTAGCAAGCCTGAGGAGCCTGACTGGATAGGTACCACCCCCGTCTATTTCTCCCACCAAGCAACAATGATTACATTGTTGTGTTCCGGTTTGAAGGATAAGGTAGCCAGCGCAATTACAAGCAAGAGGCATATCGTCTTATTCCTCACAGTGCAACGCACCTGCGGTTCTGCATTTTTGTAACATAAAACCTAAGTGCATGAACCGTGGGTGTTATGGGCGACAGGTACCACTTTCCATCAGTTGGGCTGTCTGTTCGTTTGTCGCTGAATATCATAAAAAAACTTGTATCTTAAAAGTGCTAATAATAGAAAACGCTCCATTATTAACGTATCTAAATCAATTATTACTCGTAGAAGAAACTTGATACTCACTAATTTTCTGATTCTTTCCAGAAACTTTCTTAGGTTGGTCCCATTGTAAGTGCAGAGCATTTTTGTGTGACGTCACTCTTAATACAGGAGGCTCTGGTGTTGGCAGAACTGACACTTCATATGATACTGAGTCCGATCCATACAGATTTTTAGCGAGACAAGTGTAGTTACCGCTAAGTGATTGGTCTATATCTGGAAGAAGATAATATTTTTTTAACGAATTTGGGTCTTATATTGTCTTTAAAAAAGGCTGTGATTAAAAATAAGATATCAATTAGTATTTCCTCATTTAAAAACAACATGAATCTAGTGGTCTAGTCTTAAACGGCTAGATCATGAAGCTCTGAGGTCAAATCTGGCAGTGAAAGCTGGAAAGTTAAAAATGGTTGATAATACTCTTCATCAGGATCTCTTTCGGTTGATTCTTGATCGGCATGAGTGCAAATACTACTTCTTCATAGTATATACATGTATGTATTTATATAATTATTTTATTGTGTACTAGTTACTCACCCTCGATTCGCTAGGGTTCGTCCCTAGGTTGATTCCCCGTACATACTTTTACATTTTTACATTTTCACCCCCTAAGGGATGATTTCCGGAATAAAAAATATCCTACGTCCTGGCCAGGCTTTTAAACTATCTTTTTACCCAATTTCATCTAAATCGTTCCAGTAGTTTCTGAGTTTATTCGTTACAAACATACAAAAAACACAAATCTTTTCTATTTATAATAGTAGTGTAGATTGTACTTAACACTTATGTACAAACGATTACATGTGTATTCAGCCCTTTTTAACGTACCACTGCTGGGAACAGGCCTCCCTTCAATACAGGGGGGATCAGGCCGTAGTCCACCACGCTGAGTAAGTTCGGGTTGACGGACATATATGAATGAAATCAATAAGGAGATTTGTAATACTTAAATTATACTTACTATTTATAAGCAAACTGTCATCATGGTTCCTTGTGAATCTTGGATGGTGTGTTATGATGTTATGTTTGTGATACCACACAGTGCGGGGCGGGGGAGACCCCACGCACTGGCAGACTAAGAGGAGGGACGATCCGACCCCTACTGAGATGGTTCCTCCTAAAGACGCTACGCCTGCTACCACTGAAATGAAAAGGAATGCTCATAAGTAAGCTATTATTAGTTTCAAAGTGTTACCAATATTTCGTTAATTATCACATTTGTGAAATAATAATGAGTTATCATTTTTTTCTGACTGTACACTTTAATATATTGTAATAAACAATATTCAAATATTTCATAGAAAGTATTAAGATTCAATTAGATGAAAATGGATACTGTACCTACTAGGCTCATGATATAACGTATGACTAATCTATTTTTCTGCCAGGAAAATTGGACAAACTGACTAAAATATTATTATTTAGAATCACTTCTTGGTACGTATTTATTATCCAAAATAATATTACTCATGTTGATATACTACACATATATAACATTAAATATATACATATTATAAACATAAAAACCCATGACTGGACTAACTCATTACATAAATGAATGCCCCCAGCCTCGAACCTGCTCCGCTGGCGCAGCAAGTACACTACAAGCTGAGCTAAACGTGTCGTTGAACATATTGTCACAATACATACATTTTCCAAGGTATCCCACGGGATACTATATAAAAAAATACCAAAAAATTAATATTAAACCACCTTATATGAAATCATAACAAACATAAACTCACCTCTGCTACTAACTTCCACATGCACTCTATTACTAGGCGCGCCTTCACCAGCACTAGTATGCGCGCGAGCAAACACTTCGTACGCGCCCGTACTTAGCCCTGATAGAGGGAACGAGAGCTGTCTTGTAGACTCCTGAGGCTCTACGCGATAGCTTTGTGGCGCATTTGTACTGGAAATATAATAACAATAATTTAGCGAACCATAAAAACACAAACAGTAAACAATATTACATACAAAAACAAACATACATGACGAAGGAGGAGTTACCATTTTCTGCTAGAATGTGAAACCTTATTATTTAAAGTTATTTAGTTTAGTTTTTATTGCTTTTAAAGTTATTTGAATTTAGATCCGGGATTACGTCTCGAGCGGGGTTGAGACGCCCATCATGATGATACGTGGTTTATTAACGTTCGGTGATCATGGTGGGTCATAGATTGAATACTTTATTATTGGAGCCCTGGTAGCACCCACAAGATGAGTAACCACTAAATATGATGTTCGTAGTATATGGATAAAACGACATCCATATATTCTTATTCACAACAATCTATATATTATACATTAAAAGTTTTTTTTACTCAGTTTAACTTAGGCTGTGTCTACACATAAGACATGGTAGCCTCTGTTGCCGTACTAGGAGACCTATATTACAGCATACAGCGCCTATCGCCCCAATATCAGTTATTATCAATTATAAGCCATTTAATACAAAGCGAGTTTTTTAAACATTTCAAAGGGTATTATAATGAATTACATTACTAAAATTAAATTTATAAAATAATTAAATTATTATATTTACTATGAAGAAAATTGTGTCATTGTTTCTTGAATTTCTATTCAGTATGGTCTAGATTATTTTAGTGGTTTTTGAGGTCAGAGTAGCCAAATTTTTATAATTTACAATGCATTAAAAATCTTTAAAAATAGTAAATGAAATTTTAATTTTGTGTTGCTTTACGAACTTATTTATACAGAGTAGAAGGATATTCAGAGTAATTAATATATTTCACCAGAAATCGAACCTACGACTTTCAAAGTCATGAATGGTGAAATCTCATAATTAACTACGGTATTTTCTATATTTTGGTATTTACCTTGTGACAGGTTTAACGTAAACAGTATAGTGTGTGATGTCTCCATTAGGTTGATCAGGTCTCTTCCAACTGACAAGTATGGATGTAGGAGATGAAACTAAGGCTTTTATAGCAGATGGCGGTCCGGGAACTGAAAGAAATTACCGTAAGTTTTAATTATATAAAAAAATCTGAATAAACTCGCCAATCTCTGGAATTACAAGTCCGATATAACCATTTTTTTACATTTTATAACTTATTCATTGAAGAAGTTACAGGTTATTTATTGTCACATACTACCATTAAGAGTGAAACGAGTGAAGCTGCATGCAAAAGCTAGTTTTTGTGTGAACTTTTCATATAAGCATGATTTGCTATAACTAGATTTAATAACAATCAATTATTCCTTAATCTCTAAATATCTTATTTCATGCAAAAACAAAAAACTCAAAAACGAATATACATAAAAAAAAATTTTTTAGGCTTTAATATTTAGAGGTCAGTTACTCTAAAACGCGTGTGCTTTATAGCGCTCTATAGAAGTAAAGGCGAGTTGTTAGAAATTAAAAAAGCGTATTTAAAAAAAAGAAACTTACCATCTTGTAAAGTAGTGCATACAACTGGATACGAAAATGGTCCAACGCCATAGTTGGAAAATCCAGCAACTTTGATCGTATAGTTGGTGTATTTGAGAAGACCTTGCAGATATAATTCCGTATGTGGTGTCGTTATATTTAACCATGGACCATCTGAAAGTTAGGACCATTTTTATCAGTATGATTTTTGTTGATCTATACATAGTATTAAACAAAGTCGCTCTGCGTCTGTCTGTTTCTCCGCTTACTTCTTTTAAACCACGCAAGGGATTTTGATACGGTTTTTACTAATAGAAAGAAGGCTTACGTATTTAGTATGTAAATATTTTGTACAAAATGATAGCTTAGACGGCTTTTTGTCAAAAAAACTGTTTTCGTACTATAACATGGCTAACGTTGGCCTAAACCTTTAGGGATATATCAAAACAATGTAAAAAAGGCCTACAGAAAAGTCCGCGATACCATATCTATCTCTTAAGGTACGCACATTATAACTATTTTTGAAGTTATACTTCTTTTGAGACGTTTGGAAAAAATATGAGAGTGAAATTTTTACGATGCGTGCGCACACCGACAGCCAAAAAGCGACATGACGAAGTTAGCTGCATTCCTTTTACAAACAGAGAGTTGTGACATACGGGATGAAATCTTTAGCTATTTTTGTTCTGTTACGACAAAAAAGTACGCACACACTACTGTCGCTAGTTCTAGTTTTGTCCGTTGCTACGTTCTACTCCGTGTGGTACTTTTGTCGATATTATATGTAATATGTATAGATGATGTACTTATCCAAAAACTTTGATACATTCATTCCAAATCCGTTTCGTAGTTATAGCTTAAAGAATAAACACTTATAATTTTCATCTAAATAAAATAACTTTAATATATCTGCCTGTATATATTATAATATATTGTCAGCATTTTACATTGTGGTCGTAATAGGAAAATGGTATTATAAAACTGATAATTTAATACTCATTCTGGCGTCAAATATTGTTTTCTGTGCTCTATTCGCCTTATATTTTTGGTTTGAAATATAGTCATACATACCATCATTAGAATAATGTACGGTGTATCCTAACAAGGCAGTGCGTGCGATCTGTCTCCACGCAGCACGTACTGACGTAGAAGATGCTCCCACACATTCTACGCTAGATGGCGGTTCTTCTGGGGCTGAAATCGTTTGTAAATATGTATTTATTAGAGAGCTTATATTACACCATGTCAGTTTATTTCATTGTTCGTATGTCACAGATATGGTGCGGAAACTATTGGTATACCAGACTATATGTACAGTCTGGTACTGGTAGTAAAGCTATGAACAGTGAATTTATGTACATGTAACTTAAGGTTTGAAAAAAAAGTGTGTGTGTCCAATTCACACACGGTAGAAGTGAAACTTTAAAAAAGTAACTTACGAGAGAATGAGATGAATATAGAGTATCAGGAGTATGATTATTATAAGGTTTATTTTTTTTTATAATATTTTTACCAAGTTTAAAGTTTCCTGTATAATGTATTCTATCTCAAAAAAAATAAGTGTTATTATTCATATTACAATATATTTATAGAATATCATTTACGGAAAGAATATGTTAGGTATATGTTTATCAGACAATAACAACGGTTACCATGACAACATGGCGATGTATTCTACCTCATTCTCTCGCCGGCTAAATCCTTATTATATTTATGTGTTTCTTTTTAGTGTTGCATTTCCGTTTTATTGAGTTACAAATCACAACGATTCTAAAGAAGTTTCACTTCAAAAAAATTGTTGGACGGCCATAAGTGTGGAATCCCACTCTTAAAAAGTAAAGAGTAAAAATAATATCTTACCTCCCTCTCTAGTAGTTTGATATACTGGTAAAGAATATGGCCCATTTCCTGCTGAATTGAATGCACTTACAGACACTGCATACCTGAAATAGAGTTTTTATGACTTAGTGTTTCAATTCAATTAGAGTGGTAATAATTGGTTTTTTACAACACAAATATAAACTTACTTTTGGTTAAATTATCAGTGATAATGAATATGAAGGAGACCACAAAGAAAATTTCTATCGACCAAGAAAATGGTATATAAAAATTTCATACAAATATATATGCAACGTAGTATTCACATATTATGTTGTAAATGATTCGCATATTATGTAAATAACCTATATTCGCACATGAATTTTTATATGGCTTCAATTCATTTAACTTCGTTTTTCAAGAAACAGCGTTATCAGTGGTTATTTTCCACTGCTTAAATACATCGCTACTACTACTATCTGTTTAATAACAATCTCTTTTTGTTTAAAACAATATCCATGTACCATATTATATGAACTATGAATTACAAGCGTTTCCCGTGGCTTTGCAGGCATACTTCAATATTATGTATTACTTTGTCTTAAAAAAATATAGCCTATGTGCTAATCTGAAGTATCAGCTATATTACTGTAGAGTTTAATTAAAATCCGTTCAATAATTTTTGCGTGAGAGAGTAACCAACATCCATCCATACATTCTTACAAACTTTCGCGTTTATAGAATTAGTAGGATTACCTGGTGTTTTTTAAAAGGCCGCTTAAAACTGTCTCTTGCTTTCCTTTTCTTGAAATGACTTTCACCATTTTCGTCTGAGAGTCATTGTTTCCTGCAAAATTTTGGTAAATCACATTAATTTTAGTTAAATTGGGCTTTAATTTAAATTAGATTGGGCTTTAATTTAAATAAGATTGTTAGAGATCTCACTCAAGTATCAAAATAAATAAAATTAATTGAAAGAGCTTAGTTAAGAAAGTTAATATCACTTGTGTAAGTTTATTTAAACCAAAATGTATAACAATTTCTCTCTTCATAATAAAACATTATTATAAACAAGACCAAAGCTCTATACAAATAAATAAATTGACGTGACTGTTTGTAATATCAAAATAATAGCTTTTAATATAATATTATGAAAATATATTCGGTACCGACTTAAACGAAAAAAAACAAATTTAATATTTTTTATCAGTCTGTCTGTTTGTTCCGGCTTATCTCCGAAACGGCAGGACCGATTTTAACGGTACCGAGGAAAAAAATATTAAAAAACAAAATTCGCTTTTCTACATCCCCATTGGCCCATCCGAGTGAAGCGAGAGTAAGTCGCTATTTTAAATAAAACTTAATATCTTCTCCAATTTTTCCTCGAAGTTATTCGATTTCTGGTACAAAGCTTTTCAATCATATTGCTATATAATAAAATACCTTTTGAGACGTCATTAACAAAATATGTTTGAATATGAATATGTATATTATACATTGACACACAGCACCATCTAGTTCCATGGTAAGCTACGAGGCTTGTGTTATGGATAGTTGATACACTACATATATATAACTTTAAATACATACATATTATAAATATTAACACCCATGACTAGAGTACAAACATTTGTGCTTATCATACAAATGAGTACCCCCTGCGGGACTCAAACCCGTCACCGCTTGCACAGCAAGTAGGGTCACGACAAACTGAGCCAAACGTGTTGTTTAAAAAAAAACATACCTTCTCCATTTATTCTAGGAACTGCCTTCACGTGGTATCCTTGTAACGCTCCATTATGAGTTTCTCGCGCAGGCGGTATCCAAGATACAAATAGTTCTCCAGGACTATCTGTTTGTTGGACCTGGACTCCCAAGGGACTTGATGATGGTGCTAATGGGAAATAAAATAATCATGGATTTGAGAAACCATGAGGCAAAATTATAGTACAGAATTTTATAATTATGTAAGTTATTTTACTAATATAAATTAATATTATTGTTCGAAAAATTAAAGGTAGCCCATGTCCATCCCCAGAATACAATCTATGTCCTTGCCAAATTTTATCGAAATCCGTTCAGCAGTTTAAACATGAAAAGGTAACAGAGTAATTACTTTCACATTTATTATATTAGTATGGATTATGCACTGTCGAAAAGTATAATTTCTAAATATTTCTCAACTTTCTAGTAGCGTAAACAATTGTAAGAATCGTCTTGTTTAGCGATAGGCTCCAATAACGTATCTCTCTATGATTTTTCTTACATTTGCTATAAATATAATTTATCAAATGAGCTTATGTCAACTTTATTTTCTTTACTAAAGCAAACTTCGAATAAATACGCTAATATGAAACGCACAACATGAAACATCTCAATAAATATCGGTCAAGTGCGAGTCGAATTCGCACACGAAGGATTCCGTACCATCGTACATATACTTTTTATTAATATGACTTTTACTTTATGTATGTAATATATTAACTTCGATGAACGATTAAAAGTAAAAGAAAAATTCTTGCATTTTTATTTTTATTTGTTGCTATGGCGGCAATGGAAAAACACACTCTGTGAAAATTTCAACTCTTTACCTATTACGGTTCATGCGATACAGTCCTCTGACAGACAGACGGACGGACGGACAGCGGAAGCTTAGTAATAGGGCTCCATTGGCACCTGGTTACGGAACCCTAAAAATTAAAACAATATATGTATTATTTACTTATAGTTCCGTCTAAATCTTACCTTCCTGTAACGTAGTGAAGTGTACGGCCTGCGTGTACGGACTGAGGTCCACTTGATTGCCGGCGGCAATTCGCGCGCGATACTCGACCGCAGGCGTCAGGTCTCTGAGTTCTATACTTTGTCGTATGTCGTTTTCTTGTCTGTTTTAGGTAAATAAGTTAAAATGTTATTGCATTTACATAAAAAAAATGATCTAAATATACGTGGCCATGTCAAGATGTCTCATTGTTGACGGGTACTACCGGCGTACCCACACACGTACAAACTGTTACAATTATAATAATATCTTTTACAATAGAAGGCTTATCATAGATATGTTGGGACATTAACACACAGCACCATTCAATGCTGTAAGCTACGAGGCTTGTGTTATGGATACCAGATATTTGATACGCTACACACATATAACTTTAAATATAAACATATTATAAATATAAACAGAAACATCCATGACTGGAGTACAAACATTCGTGTTCATCACACAAATGAATGCCCCCAGCGGGACTCGAACCCGCGACCGCTGGCACAGCAAGTAGGGTCACTACAAACTGAGCCAAACGTGTCGTCATATATCATATAGTATTCGAATAGGGAAAAAATCTATTAGACAACTTAAAATAAAAGCTTTCTAATTTAAGTTCAATCCGTTTATCTGTTAAAGCTTTAAAAAGTGATATACACACACTTTTACCTACATTTATTCATCAACCTTCGCATTTTATAATCTTAGTCGTAATGATGATGAAAAAGTATAAATTTTTTTAGTGCTTGTTTAGTTATTCAATATATGGGAAGTTTTAAAATTGGAAACCGTTTAAATAAAACTATCTTTTCGGATTTTTTCGCGGATTTATTTATTAAATCCGAAAAGATAGTTTTGTTTAATAAGTCAAATATTCGCGTAAATCTAAGAAAGTATTATTAGAAACTTTGTTAAAAGGTTATATATAAATGTATGTTTATTTATTTTTTATGACATGATATAATATAATTAGTGTATTATAATTGTTAGTTAGTATTATATTAGAGCTGCTATTAATAGACCTTTTTTTTAACGTTGGGAAATCCATTTACGCACGAGTTGTGGGACTCACCGGCAAAGCTAGTACTACCCACTAAAACCCAACAAAACGTTCCCCCGTCTTAATGGGGCGTCGCAGGATCGCTTACGCATTCAACTACGACGCCCCGACGGCAGGTCTGCGAAGCAGACCACAACAGCCATGGTGTTGTTTTAAGGTCCACTCTGCTATCAGAGAAGTACCAGGAGCAACCCGCATGGTACACCGCCCACCGAAGTGGGCCACCTCCCTGTGCGTTTCTTGGCTTCGCGCCCGGCTGGATTGCCGGAAATTACTGAGCCCCTTCCTCCCCTCCCCCCTCACGATAAGGCGATCGCACGACAAAATTGTTTAAAATATCGAAATTTACATTTTTCTACCAAAAACTTTATATAGCTGTCATTTTTAGCATGATATTGAGTAAAAAGTACCTGGTGATATTGATGGTTTTAGCAGATTCCCATAAAGTATAGTGATTTGAAGAGTACTGTACGCTGTAGTACTGTACGTGGGATGAGATGGTGTCTCGCCATGAGAGCTTTATTGAAGAACTTGTGATAGAATCTATTTGGAGATCCGTTGGTGGGGTTGGAGGTTCTATAAAAAAGAAAAAACGTTTTAGAACTTTTGAAATTGTGATTTTTTTTGTACTCAATGTATATATTTAGTCATATTTTATGATGTTATATTACGATATAACATCATAAAAGTACCAATATACGATTTCGATAAGTGATAATAAAGTGACAAGTTGATGTTTCTCACTTTCTTCTTTATTCTCTACGGTTAATGCTTTATTCGTTACGGTAAATGTCATGCAATTTACTTAGAGCTTACAAATAATAGTAATTTATTAACCCAACACAATATTAAAAGTTTCACCCAAACTTCAGGAGTGAATTATTCTCTTGGATTGTATATAATATGAGCTCTTGTGGTAAAAAGTATTCTTTTTTTTAAACTAATACTTCAAAATCAAAACAAAGAATCGCCCAAATAAAGCAAAAATTATACCAGCATTTAGTCCCTGCATTTTCAATCGATCAAAAGTATAGAGTATTAGCGATTCTCCTTCGCTCCGCTTGAGTTCGTCCCTACTTACGCTTTAACACTGAGTATAGATTTCTCATAGATGAGATATTTTCCTGCAGTAAAAAGTATCCTATATGTTGACCCAAATAACCAGCTATCATCATACCAAATTTTATCAAAATCCCTCCAGTGGTTTTTCTGTGATGCGGTAACAGACAGACAAACAAAAATTCTAAAAGCTATAGATTCAGCCTCTGTATCGATAATAATGTCTATTTCAATAAGATTTTCCAAAAAATATTTAATGTAAAGATTCGGCTTGGTTACAATTTTATTATAATATGCATAGAAAATAACAACTTACCAAGTATATTTAAATGTATATTGAACGTGGCGACACCGTACGGATTGCTCGCTCTACATTCATAAGTACCGCCGTCTCTACTCTCCACATAGTTTATATTTATTGAACTTTTTATACCATTCGATGTTACACTTTCTGATATTGTTATTCTAAAAACAGAAAAAAATTAATGATGCAAGAGAAAATTTTCAATTTTATTTTGTTTAATGAGCGCCATCTATATTTCCAGTATGAAACTATTGCTTTTAAACAACCCTAAAGTGAAAAGCCGGATAGTAACGGTAATGTTTAGTACTAAAGCAGTCTAACTCAAGTTAGACAAAACGCTTCTTTATTTAAACAATAGATGTCGCGGTTCATAAAAACATTTCCAAAAACTCAAAAATGATAATCAGGATACGTATACGTGTAATTACGTAACAGATATCCAAACAATCTACATAAGCTCTATTGAATAAAATTTTAAATGGATTTTTTATATTTTTAATATTAGCAAGGTTAGTCTAAACTTTCAGGGCATAATATTTAAAACTAGCAGCTCACCCTCGCTTCGCTCGGGTTCATCGCTAAGTACGTTTTAAATAGATATAAATAGTTATTAGCCAGTGTTATTAGCCATATAAATATATTTTTTTCGTTAATTTTTCTGACGTTTTAATACTTAGGTATTAACCTATTCCGGAATGAGAGAAATCCAAAAATTCAAATATCATAAAAATTGGTCCAGCCGTTCTTGAGACTTGTATATGGGAACGCAGTCGAATGGGCTAAAAAGTATCCTATGTCCGTCTCCTGGTTCTAAGCTACCTCCCCAACAAGTTTCAGCCAAATCGGTTTAGCCGTTCTTGAATTATAAATAGTGTAACTAACACGACTTTCTTTTATATATATAAGATATGTAGTTACTTATATTTCGTTTGTGTTCATGTATATATATGCACTATATGTCCATAGCCCTCATTTGAGTACAATTTAACTTTATTATGCTAGATGACTCCACTTCAATCTGACCTATATATACTAATTATTTACGTGAAAAAAATCTTGTTTATGAATCACAATAAGAAATTTTTCTTTTCTTGAATTTGAATTACGGCTAATTCATATTCAAGAAACGATAAGTTTTTAAACATAATGTTACAGGTGTTACAGTTAAAAGCAGTTTTGCTAAAAAAGGCCTGGTGTTCTTTTTTAGACGACTCACTTTATGTAGTCTTTACTGTGATCATAGTATATGTATATAATCAATCTGTTGACTTATATGTAATATTAAGATTTAAATTTTCTGTGATAGAGTAAAGAAGTCCTCACTAACTTTAATAGATTTAACTCAAAATTTCATTTCACAATTACTTTAACACATATGCTTCGTAAAATACGGCATGTCAGTGCTTATTTGTCCAAACAACCAATTTACCGAAAGAGCTTTTAATACAGAATTTTTCACTTTTAATGACAATTTTACCTGGAAGACGTAAACTCCACAGGTTTCCCATCAACAGTCCATTTAATTCGTATAGGGCTGTCTCCTAAGGGTTGGCAAGTCAACGATATTGGCAATCCCATTTTAGTAGTCAGATTCATTCCCATGGATTCAAAGTGCACTGGCTCTAGAAATAAGTTTCATGTTAGTGAATAAGAATTATTGTGAAAAACTTTTAATAAATTACTTATTAAAACAAAATATTACTATTAATTTACTAATCTATTAAAGTGACAAATATAAATCATTAAAATCAATAAAGCTATTTAGTAATTACGACGGAACATAGGATCGGACCTACATACAGGTCAAACACACAACCCTCCTTTAGGTTTCACTGCAATCAAGTAAATACAATATATATTTTGAAGTTGTTTAATAAATAAAAAAATATTTAAACCTTATAAAATAAAAGAACTAAACTCACTATTAACACTTATCCACAGATTTCTATGTAAGGGCTCGCCTACACCGTTGTCTACATGACACGCGTACTCTCCTTCATCCGCCAGTGATACCACTTCTAATGATAGCGAACCGTTTGGATAACTCGAGACCCCTCCCCCTGCCAGGTCGAGTATTGGCCTCCAAATACCTAATGCAGCTGGAAAATGGATTGAAAATTTATATATTATAAAAAAAGACTATTTTTTCCGGGTTTTTTGCGGATTTATTTTGACTTTTGGTTCCCAACGTTTCGAATGCTTGCTTTTAAGTATTCGCGTAAATGTAAAAAAAGTATTATTCATATATTTCTTACACTAACAGAGTACTAAGTGAATCTGTTCGTTAAAAAAAACTCAAAATAAAAACGCGATATAATCCGAATACGCCAAGTATTTGTGTAAATCTAAGAAGTAGCACCTAGTTTTTTCTCCGCGTATTTTCTCCCATAGAGAAGCGGGAATATTTTATATTATATATAAATATGTATACATCCCCGTAAAGCAATATATGATTATTTTTGAATAAATTAACACTATATCAATTTATTTATATCTAGACAATTATTTAAAAAAATATATATTATTACTTAAATTAAAATAAACAAATTTATAATAAAATCGATTTAATTTTTACGAAAAACCCGTAAAAAACACAAAAAAAATAAGTAAAATATATACCTACCATCTCTCTTCATCCAATGTATTTGAGGCGTGGGATAGCCGTTAGCGTTGCAATCTACTATACCCCGCTGTCCTAAAAGAAGAGACGTATTCGCTGGCTCCTCTACCCATTTTGGTGCAACTATAAATTAAAATTAAATATGATTTCGCATTCAGTTTTTTTAGTTAATTAATTAAATTAATAATGAGTGAATGTTATGAATGTTTTTATTATGTAGGTACTAGCATTTGTCTGTAGTTTTTAAAGCGCCATTTATATTTTTTAAATAATACGGGATCTCTCTTCGCTTCGTTACGGTGCGTCCCTAGATGCTCCAAAGCTATCCAGTCTTTTCAGCGTGAAGAAGTAACAAACGTACACACACATACACACACACACGCGTACACACACATATACACACACGCACACACGCACACACACACACACATACACACACACACACACACACACGCACACACACATACACACACACACATACACACACGCACGCACACATAAATTTTCGTAAATATAACAGTATAATCTGATTAATATGTTCACAATATTTTTAGGAAAGACAACAGCTACTAAGTCACGTGACATTATGTATTCATATTTATTAGCCTACTCCTTCTGACAGAATACACATCCTTGTTACTTTGAAGCGCGCCTCTAAGGAGATTTTCGCAACAATCTAATACCCGACGAGAACCAGTTTATGTAACCAGATACAAAATAATCATTTCCCAGCCCATAAACTATTACTATGTAGTTTTTAACTTAAAAATACGATAAAATTGCTGTTTTAAAATTTCATTGAATTAATTCCATACTGATAAAAACTCTACAATCGAAATCTAACGATTTACCGTTGTGTCACTCGGATGTGCCTAGGTGACTTTTAAAATCATATTATTATATACATGCAGCGTCACCTGCTGTCAAATTTAATAACTAACAGTAATCTATAAGTTAGTCCAGGTCATGTTTTGGGTCTATCTGTAATGTAAATTTTCATCCAAATATGTCCATCCCGTTCAGCGTGCGTACATTTGTGCGTATGTATACACATACCATATTTTTAATTTATACTTTTTAAATAAAACTATCTTTTCTGATTTTTTCGCGGATTTATTTAGATTTTTGTTTCCCAACGTTTCGAATGCTTTACAGCAATCGTAGTCACGGGAGAGGCTAAGGTTTTAGACGTCTCAAAGGCATTATATAGTAGTTACAGACAGCTAACCCACAAAAGCGTTCGAAACGTCGAAAACCAAAAATTAAAATAAATCCGCGAAAAATTCGAAAAGATAGTTTTATTTAAAATGTCCTATATTAGCATAAATCTAAGAAATTATTATAATAAAACTATAATGTAATAATAGTTTAGCTATAGTTTAGAATATTAATGCTCTCACCATTTATATATAAATCAGTAGTTTGATTGACCTTTCCTACGTGGTTTGTGGCAATACAGGTGTATCTTCCACAGTGTTCTAGAGATACCCGCTTAATAATTAAAACGCTAAATAATTCAGAACTACGTTCTGTTATCTGAAACATATTTACATATATTAAAAATTAATGTTAATGTTATTCAGTAGAAATAAATTTTCTGGTTCAACAATGGATTAAAATAAGCCATCGCATCACATCTGTCCCTACAGAAGTCGCTACGGGATGAACAAGACCGCTCTGTCAAGAATATCACGAAGAAGAAGAAGAAGAAAATAAGCCTTTATCTCTTCTAGTAAGCTGTAGAGTTAAAATTATGGCATATTAGATTTGACAAAGCTCTTTGACAAAAGCTCATCAAGCTCACCAAAAAATATATCGGTTGGCAAATAGAGAAAAAGGTACGGAACTGTTTTTTCTTTGCCTATTTATATATAGATATTAGTAGATTTAAAACACAATACCTTCAAAGTGGCTGGAATCTTCATACCATCTTTAAGCCAAGAGAAGAAAATAGGTGGATCTCCGCTAATAATATTACAAGTAATTTGAACGATCTGTCCTTCCTTAAGTCCTGAACCAACTCGGAGTTCATCTAACTCCGGAGCTTCAACGACTTGAATTTCAAAGGATCTGAAAAAATATAACATACGTGATTTTTTATTTTATTTTTTGATAAATATAAAAAATACGAATTTTTATATAAACTTTTATTATAAGTATATATTTTTTTTTTTTTAGGAGATAGGTTTCGTCTTTCTTATTGCTTAGTTACATAAGAAACTCTTGTTTTGTCTAGATTTTAGATTTTAAGCGGATGCGATTACAAAACCCTATAAACGTATGAACAAGTAGTATATATAGGCTTTGTGGTATGTTTGAAATTAAAATATAACGAAATTACCGTTAATGTTTCGTATAGAATAAAGGATGAAGAGAAAAATGCTATTGTGCATTCAAAACCAATTTCACTTATTTAGCTTACTACATATAATTATTTTTAAGGGCGTCATCATCAAATGAGTTCTATGATATCAAGTTATCGTATTATAATCTGCATTTTTACATACATAATAAATATATATGGGGACATTAACACACAGCACCATCTAGTTCCATAGTGAACTACGAGGTATGTGTTATGGATACCAGATAGCTGATACACTACACATATTACTTTAAATACATATATATTATAAATGTAAACACCCGTGACTGGAGTACAAGCATTCGTTTACATCACACAAATGAATGCCCCCAGCGGGACTCGAACCCGCGACCACTGGCACAGCAAGTACTACTACTAACTGAGCAAAATGTGTCGTCAAACATATATATAACATTTAAAATAAATATAACAATCAAAATAGATCAAAATCGAGCCAAAATCCACACAAATGCTAACTTACCTTCTAGCCATTTCTCCAGAAGGACTATATACTATACAAGTATACATTTCCCCGTTTTCCTCCTTTACAATCCTTTCAATACTCAACACGCCTTCTTCACTAGACTCTAACACCTGTCTTTTTCTGCGTCTTTTCCTAGTGTTTTTACGTTTATTGTTCAAGTTAGTCCGCTTGTATCTTGCATGTTGAGGAAGCATTGAACTTATGATTTTTTTTCCTTTATGTTCCCATTCTAATTTGCTGTAATGAAAAATAGATAAATTTAAATATACGTATTGTTATATAAAAACTTTCACGTTATATCAGAGATAGTTTAAAAAAAACTATCTTTTCGGATTTTTAGATGTATTTTGATTTTCGGCTCCCGACGTTTTCGTATGATCAGTTTGTTTATTTTGTGTATTGTTGAAAATCATTGTATAATTTTGTGGATAGGTGTTGCTTCTAACCATTACATGACCTGTAAGACGTCTAAAATCTAACTTTCTCCTGTGACCATGATTGTTGTAAAGCATTCGAAACGTCGCGTTGGAAAACAAAAGTACTTTTATTTAAAACTGGCGACTCACCCTCGCTTCGCTCGGGGTCATCCCTAGGTACGTTTTATCGGTTAGAATGTAATAGAGAGACTATATATTATATATACATAAACCAAAATAATCAGGTCTAAACTTTTCAATTTTCGAGTTGTTTTTTTATGTTTTCCCTATTTTTTATACTTAAACCCTCGACACCCCCCCAACAAAACTAAAAAAGAATAATTGAAATCGGTCTAGCCGTTTTTGATTTTTGGCGAGACTAACGAACGCCAATTCATTTTTATATATGTACATAATATGTAGATAGATAACAAATATTTGCGCAAAAACCAAGCGAAGCGGGTTCACACTCGAGTCCCACATCTTTGATATTGTGTGAATCATAACATGATTACCACTTGTTAAAAAAACATCGAGAGGAAACCTCCAAGATTAGCAGTTTTTAAAAAGGGATGAGGTAAGCTTGTGGAAAACCTGATAATGACTGAGTAACACCTTGCTTCTAATTGTTCATACAAATGAATGAATTTAAGTTGTAATTTAAATCAAAATGCCACTTCCATGACAATACTGTTACATTTATCAGGAATGCGTTTGGCAATTTATATTCTGAGCATCTGCATACATTTCGTGGTACAAAGCCGAAATAGGTCACATTATGCACATAACTAATGTCTATGTAATCAATATTTGATTGAGTAACTTGTTGTACTGGCTTTAAATTATATATATATAAACTAGCGACTCACCCTCGCTTCACTCGTGTTTGTCCCTAAGAACGTTTTCTCAGAGATATTTTCTCGCAGTAAAAAGTATCCTTTATGTTGACTCGGATACCCAGCTATCATCATAACAAATCTCATCAAAATATATCCAGTGGCTTTCCCGTGATACGTTCCCAGACAGACACAGACAGAATGTAATTTAAAAAACTATAGATTCGCCCTGTGTATCGACAATAATATTATAATATTCAATAAGATTTTCCAAAAAATATTTAATGTACAGGTTCGACTAAGTTACAATTTTATATATATATATATATATATATATATATATATATATATATATATATATATATATATATATAGAAATCTTTAAAAGTCTTTGCCTAAGACAAAATAGCTCAGTACCTTTTCCTCTGTTTGATTACTAAAAATATTTTTGGAACAGGTTTTTTTACATAGATAAGTAAATTCTGTTCAAATATGTTTTCCTCAAATTTTAATTAATGATTATGCCTGATTTTTGACCAATCGGCGCCCACTCCAACTCTGTTCTATTAAAATTTTGCTTACAATAAGCTTTTAACTAAAAAGGCATACTTACTGGCTTTAAAATTATGTAAAAATAATTTATTCATCTACCTTTATGTTAAATCTTTCATTAATTCATTCGTTAATGAATTAAAAAAATGAAAGTCAGTAAATAATAAATTGGTAAATAAATCATGTAAATAATTTTTATTACTACACAGCAATTATTTATATGTATTATAATAATATGGGAATTATTTTACATCTGAATGACCTAAAATTTTAATGTAAACGTGCCTTAAGTATTGACTATAATTAATTTCTGCACTGTATGCGTAGTCACGTTTTTACCCTTAATGCAAAGACTCTCAAAGAAATTTAAAATAAAGTACCTTATTTTAAAACTAAGTTTACCTTTTCGAATTTTTTCGCGGATTTATTTTGATTTTTGGTTCCTGACGTTTCAAGTGCTTTACAGCAGTTTTGGACACGGGAGAGACTAAGGTTTTAGACGTCTCAAAGGCATTATATAGTTGTTACAGACAGCCTTCCCACAAAATGACAAAATGAATTCAAAAATAAAAAAATGGCACCAAAGTACCTCAATATTATAATATTCGCGTAAATCTAAGAAGTACTTTTACCTTTATTCTTTACTCAATCGCTATTTTTGTCACTAACAAAAGTCAGCAATAATCATTCTTTAGTGTGCATACATTTATTCAGCCCTTTATTACGTTCCACTGCTGGGCGTCCCTCATCTATTATTTTGCCTTGTTTATTAAGAAAAGTCAAGCTAGGCTACCATTGTCTCACCGTTTTAATATCATACTCGTAGTCTACAATATAGTCCATACTAATATTCTAGAAAAGCACAAACGGATCTAACACACGGGAACCATTTATTTTTCTGGGATAAATAGTAACCTGTTGTTTGACCGGCAATATATAAGGTATCGGCATGCCAAATTTTACTAAATTAGGTGCATAAATTGCTGTGTACATAAGCTGTATAAGTTACTATAGTTTTTTAACTATCCCACGGGAACTCTTTAATTTTCGAGGATGAAAAGTATTTAAAATGTTGACTGAACATATAAGGTACCTCCATGCAAAATTTCATTTAAATCGGTCTAACAGTTTTGGAGATTAGCCCGCACAAACAGACAGAGAACTCGAGAGAGACTCGGTTTTTAGCACTTTTTTTCTTTGTACAGACATTCAACCTCTACAGTTTTATTATATTTATAACTGTCTCTTATATTTTCACGCTAAACCGCTAAAACCGCTTAAACCGCTGAACAAATTTCGATGAAATTCGGCAAGGACATAAATTGTATCCTAGGATTTGAATCACTCCGTTTATCACACGAGTGAAGCCGCGGGTAAAAACGACTTTACTTTATAATAAATACTCGAACATACAGAATAACTATATGTATAGTATTATTATGAATACTGGCCTAAAATATAATTTAAAAAGCTTACCTGATAGGAAAACCGTAGTAGGGACATCGTAGCTTCAAAGAATCGCCGCTTTGTACTTTAATTGGTGGCAGAGTTCTTATATATGGAGGACCTACAAAAGGCATGAAATAATATGAATAAACTTAAATATATATAATATTTAATGGAGTATCAACATCTTTTCTTTCATTCAATCATTGTATTATCAACTGTTTATCTTCTTTAAGTTACCCGAGATATTTTAATGATCATGCACAACATTCTTAATTTGATTATACCAATTATGTATCTCTTATATACTCTAAAATCTAAAAAGTACAAGTCGTAATAGAGATACTTCTTCATATAAGATACTTTTTTATTAAATAATTTTGATTTTTGATTCCCGACGATTCGAATGCTTTACAGCAATCATAGTCACGGGAAAGGGAAGGAAACAATGGAAATAATCAGAAAAGATAGTTTTATTTAAAATGTCAAATATTCGCTAAATTAGTATTATGTAAAATTATTATATACAATATGTACGTACAACAATACTGAGCGAGGCTAACTCGACCAGAGGCGTACCTAATATTATGTAAGCCTCGGAAGTTTCGAAGTCAATTAATAAAGTTTGACTGAACGAGTAATGATATTCGTAGACATTCGATGGCTTCAGCAATTTAATTTAGATATTGCCTTCGAAAACTCATTTGCTGAGATAAAAGCATATTTTTATATTCATAGCTAAGTTAATAATGGGGGTCTATTGAGTTTGTAATTAAACGATATTACCACTGGCCTAAGATACTTAGCATATTCTTAATAAGTGTTTTAAAAAAAATATACTAATATATCTCAATGCCAAAAAATATTTCAACTCGTTGATATTTGGTAGCGTAAACAAGGTTCTAACGTATACAATACTAAAAGTACGTTATTATTATATTATATAAGTAAATATTGAAAAATTGTAAAGTAAGAAAACAAGATTGGGACCCGAATTTCATAAGTAACATTCCAAGGGCTTATTACTAATCAAGCCACGTGCTCTATTTACCGTATAGCTATTGTACTTATTTTTAAACTTTATTTCTATTTAATTAAATCCAATATGAAAATGATAGAATTAATGAAAACAATTTTTAAAATGATATTTTCAAAAGTAAAATGAACCAAAAAGTTATCAATTTTGTTTTGAATTTAAATTAATAACTTATTATATAATTAACTCACTTTTATTATATAATTAGCGACTCACCCTTTAAGGGTTAGTATAAATTTCTCAGAGATTAGATATTTTCCCGCAGTAAAAAGTGTCCTGTATGTTGACGCGGATAACCAGCCATCACCTCATCGAAATCCGTTTAGCGGTTTTTTCGTGATGCTTTCCCAGACAGACAAACAAAAATTGTTAAAACTATATATTCGGACTCTGTATCGATAGTAATGACTATTTCAATAAGATTTTCCAAAAAATATTTAATGTACAGATTCGACTGAGAATTTTATTGTATAGATTATTTTGATTGTGTTTTCGTAAGTAAAATAACATAAGTTTAACTCACGAATCAAAAAATAACGCAATTTTATTAGCAAAAAATAAAAATATATAACGTAGTTTAGGCTTTATGACGAATTTTAATAAATAAATCTAATTTCGACCCGCATCTAGATTCTTGTGATTATGAAAAAACCCTTGTTTTGTGTATTATAGTATAATTTTTATTATATCTCTTTTTCCTCATCCCCCTGGTATTGAAGGGAGGACTGTGCCCAGCAGTGGGATATAAAAAAGGGGTTGAATACAAAATAACTTTTAACAAGACTCAACTTCTACAGTGCTAAAACCAAATTTCACGAACTATGTAATTTTTGTCTCTACAACAGCAGTTATATAATAGCTGAAAACTTTCCGGTTATTCGTAGTCACGAGCCGAACAGCTTCACAAATAAAAACGAGGTAAATCCTTTAAAAGTTTTTTAAATTATTTATGGGAAGTAACATTTGTGAAGTGTGACATGTGCCGTATTATATATTGTCAATTTAGCGTGTTTAAGTGTGTTTTGATTGTTTGTCCTTCTTTCACGTCGAAACGGAGTGACGATTTGGCGTGATTTTTTGTGTGGAGATAGAGGGCTGGAGAATGACATATTTTTTACCGCGGGAGATTATCTAATTCCCGCAGGAAAACGCGTTATAATACAATCATAAAAAATATTTATGATCAGAATTACATGAAACTTGGTATTAATGCTTTTTAATAAAATTAAATGAATACGTGTTTTAGGATTTTTCGAAATTCATCCTATAAGTGGATAAAATTGGGGATGAAAGTTTATTTGAAACTAATTTTTAGAGATTTTTTTACAGTTTAAGCACGAATGAAGCCGCGGGTTCTGCTAGTAATATTATAAAATAGCGTTAGACCGTGGAGAGCGTTTAAACGCTAGACGTGGTATGTTGACTATCTAAAACTCTGAACGTGACCTTGGTCGCCAATGACTTAACTATTTAATGTATATTATTACACTAGTGACTTACCCTCACCCTCTCTCCCTCCCTCTCTCTCTCTCTCTCATACACACACACACGCACACACACAGATAGATACAAATATAGACGAATCAAAAACATAATTGAAACATAATGTACATTTGCATTAACAATAAGCAATAAGTAGCGACTTTTAAGAAGCTCTCAGTAATTAAATGGTAATTATTTTATTATCCATTCAAAGTTTAAGTCATAACTTTGTTACATTATAATAGATTTTTAATTAAGTATTATTTATATATCTTCCAAGAGATAAACAAGTTCCTTTAATTAAAAGCTAAGGCAACATTTATAATACAGTATATTTCGGAACAACACCCAGTCCCTGCAATATAGGTAATAGAAATTTCTATGATAATACGTTGTGAAAACTGTGAATGAACTGTGATAATGCCAATGTATAATGTAAATAATTTCAATTTGCGGTTATATTTCATAGAGATGATTATTGAAATAGATTTTGATTAATATTAATAATAACAATGTGGTTGAATTGTTGAAAATATACTTGGGTTATAATTATGACGTATACGATCACGTATATTTGACTGCGGACTGGCTCATGTGGTGTATTTAGCCCTTTTTATAACGTCCCACTGCTGGGGGTGGGCCTCTCTTCAATAGGAGGTGGATCAGGCGATAGTCCACCACGCTGGCTAAGTGCGGGCTGGCGGACTTCATATGTCTTTCAAAAACTTTCTAGGTTCTCTCAGGTATGCAGGTTTCCTAACGATGTTTTTCTTCACCGTAAGACAAATGGTAATTTTGTTGGAAATGATTCGCACATGAAAATATCAGAGGTGCGAGACCCGGGATTTGAATCCGCTTCACTCGGTTTCCCAAGCGAGCGCGTTACCACTGTGCTACCACTGTCTTCTCGTGTGGCAGGTAAGTCGATAATATAGATACTATATTTTTATTCAAGAAAGAAGCCATATCTTGTTATTATTTATTCCCTTATGTAAATTGAGATGTAAGCAAAGCAAGAAAAAAAGAATAAACTGTGTGTGTGTTTACACACTCTTTTATTAGTCCTACTAATATTATAAAACCGAAAATCTGTGAGGACGTATGCGTGTATCTCTAAATCTTCATACGCAAAAGCTACTAAATGGATTTTGATAAAACTTTCCAGTAATAAAGCTCATACATCAGAATTAACATATAAGCTATCATTTGTAAAGATGTAGTAATACATAATTTTACTACGCCGGCGAAGCCATAAAAATGCTACTCTTATAATTCGTATATTATATGACACTAGTGTTTTATCATCGCTTCGCTTGGTGTCAAACAGCCTAGCTATGTGCTCCTCCAAGACATAGTCTATCTGTATACTTAAGTAGTGACTCGGGAACTATTTATTATATGATATATAGCCTATAGTCTTCCTCAATAAACGGGCTATCTAATGCGACAATAATTTTTCAAACAAACAAAAAACCAGTAGTTCCTGAGATTAGCGAATTCAAACAAACAAACTCTGCCTTTTTATAATATTTATATTATTCAGCCGTCTTGTGCAAAGAATTAAGAAACGTACACACATACAAACAAACTTTCACAATTATAATAGTAGTTATATTAGTGTATTTCATTAGTCTCACTTGACTCTACATTGAAACGCACAAGATGCACTAATGTCTTACAACTTACGTTAAGTGCTGCAGTGCAATCAGTTACTATATGTCTAACCCCTCTTACCACTTAGTTGCACAAATGTTAACGTTTTTTGTTAAATTATAAGTAATATCATTAAAATGTAAAATAACTAATACGAGTAATGCGTCTGATGTAAATATACGTTTTAACGTTTAGTATAGATTTCTCAGATATGAGACATTTTCCGCAATAAAAAGTATCCTATATGTTGACCCGAATAACCAGCTATCATCATACCAAATTTCATAAAAATCCCTCCAGTGGTTTTTCTGTGATGCGGTAACAGACAGACAGACAAAATTTCTAAAAACTATAGATTCAGCCTCTGTATCGATAATAATCTTTATTTCAATAAGATTTTCCAAAAAAATATCTAATGTACAGATTCGGCTTCGTTACAATTTTATTATAATATGTACAGGTTTACTGATATAATATGTAAACTTATGGCTGTAACAAATACATACCATAGACATCTATCCTAGCACCATGCTTAGTACTAACATCTCCTTCATACGCAATACATGCGTATAAACCACCGTCTTCCACCCTCGACCTCGAAATATTGAGGTGAGATATAACTCCAATACCCGATGGGGCCATCATTTGCCCTAGAATATATCTGAAATAGATAGAAAAAAAACATATATTTGCTATGACCACTGCTTCTAACTTCGAACTAAAGCTAGATCTTTCGGAAAACTCAGCCAAGTGAAATAAAATCTAAACTAAATGTAACTATAAAGAAATATTTATACAAAAAAGAAGCACATTGAAATCGTCTATATGCTTCTACGTAATACGCATCCATACTGACAGACAGACGAAAAATATTAATAATTTGTTGTGTCTTCTAATACATACCAAACATCAGCCAAATATTTCCATAAACTTATATAATTATAAGTATCTTTAGATAATACGAATATATAAGTATATAATTATAAGTATCTTTAAATAATACGATTATTTTTTATATAATATAATAAGATTTTTTATATATATAAAAAGAAAAAAATATGTTGATTTTTAAGAATATTATAGAGCAAAAACCTCGAATCTGTGTTAGACGATATAACAACGCCATCTCTCTCCCATATGAAGCGCGGTGGTCGATCTGACGTGGCCGTACATTGTAGACTAACCTGTGAAATAATGATTGTAATTTAAATTTATAAACAAAAGTATTAAATATGACACCCAAAAATTTTCCATCCAAATTTTAATTTCCATACAAATTTTTATTTTAATTTTTCCAGTTTCCATACAAATTTTGCTATTCCTTTTTACTGTTAAAGAGTTATTTTTTCGAAATAACATTTATTAGTAACCTATACTATTAAATGTATAAAGGGATGAAATTAATTAAATGAGTAACATCACTATGAAACTTAAAAAAATCAATAAAATTTGGTCATTTCCTTATAATATACAAAGTTTCTAAAATAATTCTTAGACTGATTTCTCAAAACAAACAGGTGATAATTATATATAGTTTTAATAAAAAAATATCAGCTTTAATTTCATTTTTCTAATATGACAATCTGTTATCATTCGAATATGTTTACCTAAATACCATATACAGCTATGTTAAAACCTATAACGCAAATATTTTAAAAGTGCGACGCCCTAGGTTTGAACCTCCATCACTTGGTTTTACAAGTCAACGCGTTACCACTGGGCTACCACTGCCTATTCCTATAAAGATTTACATATATATCATTTTCGTGAAAACTCACTGCAACCAATTATGAAGGTTGAATCACTGCTCTTCTTTATTGAACAATAAACATGTTCATAAAAAATAATATTGCCTATTAAATAACACTTAATTTACTTACATCTTCACCAGGCGAAACGATTTTGTCGTTAAAATGTTGCGTTATCATAATATTCCCAGATCCCAAATCCCTTTTGAATCTTCCACCTAAAACTAAAATTCAGATTATTAGATTAGAGAAGATGTACTCCAACAAACTATTTTTTAGCACATAAACAAGTAGTGTACGCACTTAGGTCTTGTGTATTAAAGTGTACAGTGTGTAAGGGTGCTCAGAAGTAGTAGAAGTAAATGTTTTATACCAAAAATCGCATCACTTTTTGTTTCGACCATGAGAAATATTTTAATAATCAAAATCCTTTTAGCCCAGCTGTTGAATCGAACCTGAGACCTACATTTTAATCAGCTACCTAGTCAAATATAATAATATGCACAATATATATTCAAATATTATGTGAACTGTTAGTTTTATTTATTTAAGAATATGTAATGGAAAGACAGTTTACGAAGTGAATTTTCATTGTCTTAATGTATATTGGTATTTTTTATATTTATATACCTTGTTTCCAAATACCTGCTAGTAGCAGTTATGACTATACCTAACCTGAATGAACATTATAAGAGATAAATTATTTATTCTATTGGTATAAACTAAATTATTCTACTGCATTCACCTTAGAAATTTATTTCCAACTAGCATTGCCTGCGGCTCCGCCCGCTTTCAGATGACCAAAAACCAAATTCTTAGGTTTTACATATTAGTATAATCTTACATTGCCGTTTTTGTGTTTTTTCTCAGAAATTTGATATTATAAGTATCCTATATGTTGACCCGGTTAACCATCTATCACCATACCAAATTTCATCAAAACCCTCCAGTGGTTTTTCTGTGATGCGGTAACTGTCTGTTACCGATAGACATCTATACAGATAGACAGACAGACAGACAAAAATTCTAAAAACTATAGATTTGGCATCTGTATCGATAATAATATTTATTTCAATAAGATTTTCGAAAAAATATTTAATATACAGAGTCGGCTTGGTTACAATTTTATTACATGTATAGGTTATCAATAAATAAGCTTTCAGAAAAGCTGTAAAAAGAATTACGTTTATATCGTTACTTCTAAAAGTGAACATTGCTTTTAAAAGTCCAAAACAAGTTCATATTTCTTATAATTTTGGGGTTAACACCCACAATATTTTTCATAATAACTTACCAAAACTAACTGGTTCAAAAGAATCTTCATCGTTTTTTCTTTTTGTTTTTCTATATTCCTTAGACCTGCAATAAAAAATACGCTTGAAATATTTATGATAATTAATTAAAAATAAAACCCAGTAAATTTTACAAATTCTGCCTCCACAATAAAGTTTCCACTAGATATCATATAACATTGTTAATATGTAAGCATAATCATTATTATGTTAGTATGGCAATTTATCGTTGAGTAAAAACACATATTACCCTATAATTTTAAATTTTATTTGTAGTTGATGGCAACACTATATTTTTTTATTTCCTTGTTCCAGCTTTAGGATATTACTTGAAGGATAGAAGATAAAAAGTAGGCGAATTTTGTTATCGTTATTATTTAAATAGAACATTTAAATATTTGGATTTGTGTAAAGCTATAACTATATTTCGTAGATATAAATTATAAAGTAATAAATAGGAACAAAATATATCAAATCAACCAAAAACGTGAGCGCAGCTTGGTGATTTGCTAGTTTTTTTTTGTTGGGACATTTACTCAGCACCATCTAGTTCCATGGTAAATTACGAGGCTTGTGTTATGAATACCAGATAGTTGATACACTATACATATATATCTTTAAATATATACATACTATAAATATAAGCAACCATGAATGGAATACAAACATTCATACTCATCACACAAATTAATGCCTCCAACGAGACTCGACTCCGCGACCGCTGACACAGCAAGAAGGGTCACTAAAAACTGAGCCAAACGTGTATACACCAACTTATATGTATAATATACACAGATTTATATTAATATTGTATGAAATTTCGTGCCTCATTTATTGCATTCTACTAAAAGAGCATGCATGATTATCGAATGGTAATATTCTTGGCTTAACGTCACATCGGAGCAAAAATCATTTCATCGATATTAAAACTGGGGCATGACCTCGTAAAATGAATACTTAAAAATAAAATAACGCGTTTACTTTAATACTGCTCTTAGTGTAAATGTTGGCGTAATAGCTACATTATTATCACCCTCTAGCGAGATAGTATAGAGCAGCGTGTCTTGTCACTTAGTTATATTTGACCGACTTCAAAATTAGAGATACTAAATTTTCAGGTTTATCATTATGTATGATTTATTAAAAGCAATTTTATTGATACTGAGAGAATGGATTTTTTAAAATCCATACTAACTATAGTTACTAGTTAGGTTCCTGTTAACTTAGGAAGTGAATTTAATCCTAAGGCATCCAGCTAACCTAAAGTATAGAGGGTTAGTAGATATTTCAGCTCTGTTCACACACTACTGTATGATGTACATATAATCTCAAACTTAAAGCGCAAGATTGCCAGCGTTTGGCGAGCGATTAACGTAAAGCCTCTATACAGTATCAAGATTTAGACTCTCTTAGAGTAATCTTATAATCTCTCAGTTTTTTTTTCAATTCTGAGTCGAATCTGTACATTAAATATTTTTGGGAAAAGCCTTATTGAAATAGTCATTATTATCGATACAGAGGCCGAATCTATAGTTTTTAGATTTTTTATCATTCAGTCTGTCTGCCTGACAACGCATCAAGAGAAAACCACCGGACATTTCTAATGTTTGTATGATGATAGCTAGTTATCCGGGTCAACATACAGGATACTTTTTATTGAGAGAAAATATCTCATTACTGAGAAATCTATACTAAACGTTAAAAGGTAACTAAGAATAAATAAATACGAACCCGAGCAGAGTGAGGGTGAGTCGTTTTGCAATTCACTTTTAATTATTGTATACTTTCATATAAGTCTTTATGTAACATAAGAAACTATTAATGGGTGATTTATTAATGTTTTTTTAGTTTGTTTCCAAAATAAATATATAAATAATGTAATCATTTAGGTTCTTCTTTATTGGTCTATTTTATTTTATGAGCTTACATAAGCGTGTATGGCCAATACAAATATTTCATATAAAGCTACTTCCTTTAACAAGTTGACTTTCTATGTGTCCTATCTAAGCCCCTGAAAGGAAATCGAATCCCCGACCTCCAGCCAAGTTACAAGTGACATTATAGAAATATACAGCTGCGATATATTTCATTATTGCCATTGTTTACATATACTAATACCACAACCATGTACCTTGTTTTCAGAACATTTGAATGCAATTCGGTTTATTTATTTGCGAATTGAAATGAAAATAGCATGCGTGAAAACAAAGCGACAGTACTATTGTTTGTATTCTATAATAGTTAGACTATTTGTTTTTGATCTATATTAAAACATGTAATGATTGTTGATTTTTATTTAAGATTATAAAGCTATTTTTTAACCGACTTCCAATTCTAAAAAGGAGGAGGTTCTCAATTTGTCGGAATCTTTTTTTTTTTTTACCGTTCACCGATTACTCGAAGACGCCTGAACGGATTTGGATTTTTTTTTGTTTCAAAGGGTATACTTCTCAGGTTCCATATAAATTTTATCGAAATCGGTCGAGCGGTTTTAAAAAATCAACAATAAATATATTTTTTAAATAAATTGCTTAATCGAATATGTTATAAAAAAATTCTTCTTACAAATTACCTACTTATTACGTTTACACTAAAAATGGAAAAATAAAAATTTTAATTATAAAATAATAATAATAAATTTAAAAAATTTAAAAATAAAAGTTTTTTTAAAACAACTTTAGTCTTTAATCTCCATAAAAAGCATTTTTCAGAATTGGTAAAAAACTCAATATAACACATTTTTCAGACATGTAGCAAAGCAGTCAAAATATAAACATTCATTATATGCAACGCTTATCACGCCTTCCAGTTGTTTTCATACCGTGTAGGTGCAAGCGGTTCTGATTTATTCATACAACGTGATCATATTAGACTGTTATAAAACACTTTGTTGTAACCATAATATTAACTTTAACACAGTGTTTACATACTGAGAAAATGAAATCTGAGCTAGCTGTGAATAAAACTAGATTTTATAACATAAAAACACATTTAGAAGTGTTATGGCAACAATGAAGTATGAAAGAGAGGTATCTATCTTCTTTCCCTTTTCTCTTTTTAACGCCCCACTACTGGGCATGGACCTCCCTTCAATTGAGGGGGCCAAGAAGTGTTAGTTATCAGACTTCACATGTCTTTCGAAAACCTGCTAGATTCTCTCAGACATGCAGATTTCCTTACAATATTTTCATTCAGCGTAAAACAAATGGTAATTAGCACATATAATATTAGATGTGCGAGACCCGGGATTCGTACCCGCTTCACTCGGTTTCCCAAACGAACGTATTACCACTAAGCTACCACTGCTGGTTGGTTTTCACTTTAGTATATTGTAAGTACCAGCAAATAGGTATATAATAGTTTCATGGACTTTACATGAAGAGTAAAAGAATAATGGTATCGAATTTTGCGGTCCCGCGACGGCTGCCCTTATCTAAATCCGGCTCTACATATAGATTGTGACAGACGGACAGGTTGATAGACAAATGATCTTATAAGCGTGTCGTTTATTTCGTACTTACAGAATAAAATATAATACCTAGTACTGTCATCAAAGTCAAAAAGATGAGATATTTTTCCGCCTTAAAAAGTATCCTATATATTGACCCGTATAACCAGTTATCATCATACCGAATTTCATCAAAATCCGTCCAGTGGGTTTCTCGTGATGCATTCCCGACAGAGAGACAGACAGACAAACAAAAATTTTAAAAGTATAAATTCGGACTGTCGATGATAATGACTATTTCAATAAGATATTTCAAAAACTATTTAATGTACAGATTTGACTCAGAATTTTATTACACACATGTCATAACTTAAATTACGGTATATTTTTGATTTATCTATTAGTAATATCGATTGTACAAAGCAGCAGGATTTTACGTGTGTGTGCGTATGCATGAGCGTGTGTGTATATGTGTATTTGTGTGTGTTTATGTGTATTCGTGTGTGTGCATGCGGTCGATTGTAGTAACGAGTCGAGTACGAGTAGTGGAGACGCGGACTTTATATACAAAATGCGTACTGGCATTTAAATGGATATGCATGATAATGCACAAAAAACCATTGCACGACTCGCTGCATCAACAGTTCACCGTGTTTGGCACATAAATAGTATATGACAGATGGGTTTTATCCAGAATATATAACGAGACTCAAATTTCATACAAGCCAAGTTTAAGTAAAATACATTCTGCATTCTAAAGTATAGGTAAGTAAAAATTTAAAAATATGTCTTATTTTTTAGTAGGTAATAATGAGCAATTTACTCAAAATTCGTGTTTGTGCTAAGTTTTATATAATATTTGTAATAATATTATATACAAGTAGCACCACCTTTTGGTAAGTTTTATTATTAGCTGTGGCTTATGTGTTACTTAACCTGTGAACAAAATTTCATCCAAACGAAAGAGAATTAAATGTTTTAGATCACCACATTGATCGCTGTACGTCAAACATAATCGATCATAAAACAAAAAAATAATACCTAACAGCAAGATAAATAAAAAAAAGAACATGCTTCTAAAACCAATTTAATTCTCTCTTTAATATTAACAAGTTAATTTACTTTAAAATAACTCGTTTTCACACTTTCCGAATCCTATAACAATTTCAAGAATACATATTACATACATATAAGAACATAATCGAACCCGCAACAGTCTAAGCGATAATAAAATCTGTACTAGTCGCATCTAATTAATCATCCATATACATACATACACATATTGTACGATAGCTTCTGCGTCGTAAATTCAAATTGAGCGTACATTAATGCGAAACCACGACTACCCACTGGCGGTAATTTCATTAATCTCAGTTTAATTTATGCATAGTTAACCGTTAACTACGGCTGTGTTTACTCAAATGTAATTAGATTGCAGATGTTATCTTAGATTTGTTAATATTGTGAATCAAATCAATATTATATGACTTGATACTAGGATGTTGGTATATGTTACTGTCAAATATTTGATGGGATCTGCCCTTTTATTGAGATCTGAATGCGCTAAAATATCACTCTATCTATACTTCTATACTATAATATTATAAAGAGGTAAAGTTTGTGAGTTTGTGACGTTGGAAAGGGTAATCTCTGGATCCACTGAACTGATTTAGATGAAATTTGGTAAAAAGATTGTTTGAGATCCTGGGAAGGACATAGGATACTTTTTATCCCGGAAATCATCCCTTAAAGGAGTGAAAATGGGGATGAAGTTTGTAATAACCATCGAGACATTTTGTTTTGAAATATTTTAGTACAACCAATTTGAAGACATTGACAAAAACTTTTTACTTCTGCAGGATCATCTCTGACTTAGTAAAATAATTCGCAGTCAAACCAAATAAATGCATTATTCGTATTAATAATATTATAGATACGAACATTTCTAAAGATATTTGTACTTTTGTTGTTCAATCACTCGGAATCAACGGATTCTGAGAAACGGAACGGATTTGGGTTTTTGTCCACATATGTGTAAAAAATTAATGTAGGTACATTTTATTTTTAAAAATACGTTTCCGAAATTAAAGTTAAAAAGACACTCTGCAAATAAAATACAATACACAAAAACGCTAATAGAAGGCTAAAAATTATAAGTAACTAGCAGAACCCGCGGCTTCGCTCGCGCTAAAACTACAAAAAAACTCTGAAAAGGTGGGTTTCATACAAAGTCTTATCGCGTATTTTACCCCCTTAAGGGATGAATTTCCAAAAATGCTAAAACACGTATTTCTTTAATTGTATTGAAGAGCATTAATACCAAGTTTCAGGCAATTCTGATAAAAAAAATTTTTTAGTTGTATTATAACGTGTTTTCCCGTGGGAGTGAAATAATCTACGACAATAAAAAATAGCCTATGTCACTCTTCAGTTTTCCAACTATCTCCACACAAAAAATCACGCTAATCCGTCACTCCGTTTCGACGTAAAAGAAGGACAAACAAATAAACAAACAAACAAACAAACACACTTTCACATTTATAATATTAGTATTGATGAGTTGTATACATATGTGAAGCGCCCCACATTACACACGAGCGAAGTCGCGGGCAATAATAAGTTGTAGGTAGTTTGACAGTATAGTTATAAAGCCACAATAATAATTGTATAACAGAATAGTAAAAATTCTTTAAAAAAATAACATCAATAACATCAGCTACGCAGACGATATGGTGCTGCTGAGCCCTTCGATCGGTGCTTTGACTAAGTTGCTTCACATGTGTGAAGAGTACGCAGTGGCTCATGGGCTCAGATATAACGCGTTAAAAAGCGAGTTAATGGTTTTTCAGGCGGGTGACACAAGGAGACAACGGAGAGTAACTTGTGTTTCTCTAGGAGGCTCTGAGTTGAAAAGAGTTGACCGGTTCAAATATCTGGGTCACTGGGTCACTGAGAGCTTGTCAGACACGGTAGACATTGAAAGAGAGCGTAGGGCGCTGTCTGTTCGCTGTAATATGTTGATCCACAGATTTGCGCGCTGTAGTAAACAAGTCAAACTAACACTTTTCAAAGCCTACTGTCAATCGTTCTACACGTGCGGTCTGTGGGTCGATTTCACGCAGCGAGCATACAGCGCTCTACGTGTCCAATACAACAACGCGTTCAGGATGTTGTTCGATCTGCCGCGCTTCTGTAGCGCGTCGTCAATGTTTGCCGAGGCGCGTACTGACTGCTTTCACGCGATCATAAGAAAAAGGTGCGCCTCGCTGTGGGCGCGAGTAAGCGGGGCATCGAACACCATTCTGAGTGCCTTGGCCGACCGGTGGGACTCCCCGTTGTTTTGTCGCTGGGTACAGCTTCATGCTCCCGTTGCTAACTATAATCTTTAGCACAGGAGTCTCCTCGGAAGCCAAAGAATTTATTTTTATTTGTTTAGTAGGTATATTATATATTACACAATAAGTTTTACTAACATAGTTGTAAGTTTTTAAATGTAACTAACAAGTGGACTGAGTCTTAAATAAAAATATTATTATTATTATTATTATTATTATTTAATTTAACTACGGGCTGACATTATTTTAAATATGTATAATTATAACAAAATTAAACTTAGAAATTTTCAATGGTGAAACGAAATTTGAATAATGTCATAATAATAATAATACTCCTTATTGTACACTATAAAAATAAACACATAAAAAATACGTAAACAAAAATTGTACAGCGGGTGGCCTTATCGCTAAAAGCGGTCTCCTACGAACAACCTTGGAGTGGAGGAGTAAGTATGGGAAGATTAGTACCTAACAAAATTTGGTAATTGTATTACTATAAAAAATATCATCTTTGTTTGCTTTTTTGGACATATTATTTAGATGAAATTCTTTGTAAAGATAGGTTATAACCAGAAGTAACACAAAGACTTCTGTTAGGCAGCTAGGGACGAAGCCGAGCGACGTCAGGATAAGCTTCAGTGAAGTACACTTTTCTCCTCTGTTTTCTTTTTTCAACCAACTTTTTCAAAAAGGAGGAGTTCGGGTTTTTCTAATATTTTTGAATTAGGTGCCAAGCGGTACAAATCAAAGCACACCAATTTCGACAATGTTTTATTAGGTATCTGCAGTAAATGAAAACTACCAATCAATAATTTTTTACTTATAAGTGTTTTTAAGTCGTTTTTTTTAAGTTTTTTATTTAGTAGCTTTTGACGAGGTTTAGTGCTATCTATAAAAAAAAATTAAACAGTTTCTTACGGATTTGATCTTATATATATATATATATACATATATATATAAAATCCTCAATGTTCCATAATGATTACGGTCCATTTCGACCACTAGGCGAACACCAGTATACGTAAAATACCAAATTATTGGTAATTATTGCTATGTGTTGTAGTGATTTATCTACTACACATACTCGTAGATATCTTTATGCAATTTAAATGGCTCCAGTTTGGCGTCTGTCCAAATTTCATTTGCATTTAATCAGACTTAAGTCCTCTAATTTACATTTACAACAAAACAGTTAATGCTCTCAGTTATGATAACTGTGTTACGGTTATCTGTTTCAATGTGCCATCGGCTAGGGGTTTGATTCTTCGGTAATGTTAACCGATTTTAAAGTTTTCTATACATCTTCTCAATATATATAATTCTTCTGTACGTGTATTTGTACTCCTCCTAAAGGGCTGGACCGATTTGGATGAAATTTTGTGTGTATATTTCAATGGGCTCTTGGATGGTTTGAAAATACACTTAAACCCGGTAGGTGGCGCTTCTGTTGGTATGTTACTGATCTTCTCCTAAACGGCAGGGACGATTTTAATGATATTTTTTGTGTATGTTTGAATGGGTCCCTGCAAGGTTTAAATCCACAAATGGACCCGGTAGGTGACGCTGCAGTCGGTGTGTCAAAGAGTTCGGTTTTTAGTAGTTTGAACGTGGGCGAAGCCGGGTATTGCTAGTAATATACCATTTTCATTGTTCTTTAAACGATCTTTTGGAAAAATTGAGAATAGTAGCATAAAGTGCATTCAAATCACGCTACTATTTTTGACTTTAATATTTGTTTTGGCGGACTCCATCTATATACATATTTATTTAATCTGAGAGTATAACTTAGAAATTTTTTCTTGTTTCTTTGAATAGACTGAACTGAACTAAAACACCGGTAAAAGGAAAACTTATCTGTAGCCAAATAACCTTGACATTCCTTACCTTTGAATAGCTGGTTTGTATGAAGTTTTATGAATAGTTTGTGTACCTGAAACAAATTTACATAGTTTTATTTTGGAGTACAAAAATAAAAGTCCATATAATTTTTTGAAATAATTGCTGTTCAGTTGGCATTGGGAAGGTAGCAGGTTTGATTGATGCCTTTTGTTTTAATTTGAAAAATTCAAGTGTTATAAAATATAGAAAATTATAATCCTATATTTTCCGTTTTTTAAGAAAAAATCCATTAAATATGGTGTAAAACTAAGCAGCGTTTTCTGAAACAGACGAGATGGGAAGTAAACTATAATATATACATAGCACACATGTATTACACAAATATATAAAAGATGGCTTGCTTTGCACTAATATTCCACTGCTGAGCGCGATAAATGGGTTAATAGTCCACGAGTCTTTAGAAAATTAGTCAGGCTCAAGAGACACTACTACTTTCTAAGAAAAATAAAAAAAAACTCTGAGAAGTGCGAAACCCAGGATTTGAACCTGCCGATTCTAAATTAAAGTTTAAATAAATAAAAAAATATTTACGTACTTAAATGAGTTTTAAAGTTTTAAATTGCTTGAGAACACTAAGATTTTTCTGTTTAAGGTCTCCAACTGATAGCAGGTATATTATTTTTTTATAAAAGAATATACACAACATTATGCACGTATAAAATATCTCATTGTGTAGTTATCCTAACAATAATCTATAGGTACATATAATAAAATTCTAACTGAGCTAAATCTGTAAATTAAATATTTTTTTGGAAAATCTTATTGAAACAGTCATTATTATCGATACAGAAGCCGAATCTATAGATTTCAGATTTTTTGTCTGTCTGTGGGTAATTAGCTTGTCTGAACTATAATTATAACTAGGATTGTGTATGTTTGTCTAGTTCTGAAGATGAACTTATAACTCTATATACTATGCGGTCTCATATTACACTGGTGTAACATGAGCGCGAAACCATAGACAGAGGCATGTAATTAATATTTATTTATAGCTTTAGGCAACATGTTGCCACTGCACCATATGGTCTAATTTATCTGTTCAATGTACACTTATTAGTAGAAGCTTAAGTCGGTTTTCACTCGTCTTCTTATTACAAGAAAAGTATATAATATGAAAGTTTCGGGTATGTAGGTGTGTGTGTGAGTGCCCGTGTGTGTGTGCATATGTGTATGTCTTCTCCACGCTGAAACGAATAAGATATACACGAAATATTATACATTAGCATGAAATCAAATAAGAATATCAGTGTGTGAGTGCTTTTTAAATTTATTTATGTACAGATACAAACAGCGCTGATTAAGTAGAGCTACTCGAAGTAAGTTATTTCCTAATAAATTCAAGTAGAGTAAGAAAGGACCACTAGTTTATAAGTAATTATATATTTTTTAGATTTACTTACGTAACATATTTAAGTAATGCCTAACATTTATGACATAATGTAACTATTTAGTAATATATTCTATAATATATATATTATTAATTCCTAGGTATTCAAAAGTTTAGCTTTACATAAATGGCAGGTCTAGAAGATGTTTGACCATTATGTAATGAATTGATGTACAATGTATATGAGAGCATAATATATTACTATTTTATACTCTGCATACAATATTAGTACTAGACCCACAACATACGTAAAGTATAAAAAAATTGTGAAAACTAAAGGTCTCTAGGGGCTAGGGGATGAAGTTTTATAATATTCTTTATAATATATTAGTATACATGAAATATAGCATTCATTTATAATACTAAAGTATAAGCAATTTATTTCACTCGATCTAAGCCACGAGAAAACCTTAAAAATATAAGAACTCTTTGATTTTTCTATATTTATTGTTAAAGTAAAACTAGATCGTCAGCAAATATCAAAATCGTCTGTTTTGAAATACGAGTAGTTCCATTTCAAACTTAAAAATGTTACTTTAAAACAAATAGTATTTCCTAAACGGCTAGGAAACGTTATTCTATCATATATATGTCGGACACGCTTTTGACTTCAATATTGTTGTTACTTGCGACTTACGCCAACCAAGATTAAACCATTTATATTTACTATATATACACATATAAGTAATAAAATTCTGAGTCGAATATGTACATCGAATATTTTTTTAGAAAATCTTATTGAAATAGTTATTATTATCGATACAGAGGCCGAATCTATAAGTTTTAGAATTTTTGTTTGTCTGTCTTTCTGTCTATCTGTCTGTCTGAGAAATCCACTGGACAGATTTTCATGATATTTGGTATGATGATAGCTGGTTATTCGGGTCCATATATAGGATAATTTTTACCGCGGGAAAATATCTTATCTCTGTGATATCTGTACCAAACATTAAAAGGTAAGTGTCACTAGTTTTATATAACGTCTAAAAAGAGTTAATGGTGATAATTCAATGGTATTAAATATACAATACTATAAATCCTTAGGTAAACAACCATGTTTCCGGTAAAATCTGTCATTTTTATGAGAAAATACAAAATTTATTTCGAGCGCAAATAGTTCAAACAACTAGTTTGGAGCCAAAAAAGTCGTACATTGCTTAATAAAAATAAGTTACATTAGATTAAGAATTCAATTATGAAAAAAACCTTTATTTTACCCTTACGTTCGCGTGCGTCTACAGGTGCCTAACAGTAACCTATGAATTTCTTTCTATATCTCTCTATCTGTATACTAAACTAAAAATTTATTAAAAATCAGCCCAGCTGTTTCAGTCACTACCTCAGGAACAACAAACATACACACATGCACACACACAAACGTTTAATGTTTAAAATCAATACATATTATTTATTAATTTGTGGTCAAGTGGAAGCTCTAGTTGACTGTAGAACTGTAAGCATTATGAGTTTCTCGAAGTTTAATTAAAGTTCAGCATCATGTGCTTCGTAAAGGAAAACTTAGGAAGCTATATCAGATGAAGAAAAACTTTTGCCAAAGGAGTGGTGGGTGTTGCTCTAAACCTTTTGTTTGCTGTTTGACGTTAATTTAGTACTTATAATAAATAATGTATAATAAATAAATAAATAAATAATGTATGTAGGAGAGCAGACAAAAAACTATTTATAAATAACGAATAATTTAATATATAAAACTATTTATTAAATCCTTACAAACTTCGTTTTTTTTAATCGAAAATACCTCTTATTTCTTTCACACTCCTTTCCTGAATCCCGTTTCACTCTACCTCTCGCTAATGCATTCACATGTACATTCATCCACAGATTATAATTAATTAACAACTACCATACTGAACAACTTGATCCGATCACTCAGTCTTGCAGTCTTAATAAATCATTCCTATATATACATATATTTAATTAAATAATTAACCATTTTTTTCTTTGGTAAACACTTAATCGTATTTTTTTACATGAAGAGTTATTAAGAACTAGCAACTCACCCTCGCTCGGGTTCGTTCCTAGGTACATTTTGACGGTTAGTATGGAATAGATAGACTATATATGTTTAATATATATTTCCCAAACAAACTTTTACACTATTTACCCCCTTTTTTTAACATTGGGAAATGCATTTACGCACGAAGTGTGGGACTCACCGGCGAAGCCAGCACTACCCACTAAAACCCAGCAAAACCTTCTCCCGTCTTAATGGGACGTCACAGGATCGCTTACGCATTCAACTACGACGCCCCGACGGCAGGTCTGTCAAAGCAGACCACAATAACCACGGGGTTGCTCCAAGGTCCACTCTGCTATCAGAAAAGTACCAGGAGCAACCCGCATGGTACACCGCCCTCCGAAGAGGGCCGCCTCCCACCGCCCTCCGAAGAGGGCCGCCTCCCATCGCCCACTGAAGCGGGCCACCTCCCTGTGCGTTTCTTGGCTTCGCGCCCGGCTGTATTGCCGGGCACTACTGAGCCCCCCCACCACGACAAGGTGAACCCACGTTGGGGGGGACACTATTCACCCCCTTAAGGGAAGATTTCTGAATTAAAAACTATCCTATTTCCTTCCCAGGGTCTCAAACTATCTCCATATCAATTTTCATCTAAATCGGTTCAGCGGCTTAGTCGTGAAAAAGTAACAAACAGATAAACAAACAGAGTTACTTTCCGATTTACAATATTAATATGGATTATTAAAATAATTTACACGGACACAGGATTTGAACCCGCATCACTTGGTTTTCTAAACATTATATTGTGAAACCTTTGTGTAGTCTCGCTTGAAATAAAATAAAATTTTAAATAAAACTATCTTTTCGAATTATTTCGCGGATTTATTTTGATTTTTGGTTCACGACGTAAAGCATTCGTAAAATGTCATATTATATTCGCGTAAATCTATGAAAGTATTATAAAATAACATTTTAATTATGCTCTCTTTTATAAACTTCTCCTTTTAAATTTTTTAAATAAAAACGTGTTAAATAAATGTAATATCAAGTCCATCTAGTGTCGGTTAAAAAAATAATTACAACCATCCGCCATGTTAATAAATTTCGAACACTGCGGTTTAGTTCAAAACTTTATCTTGAGAACGAAACACGAAAGCTCTTCGAATTGAAAAATAAAAGTAAAAACTTCCGGAGTATCTTCAACTGAAATTGCACTATATGTCTACGTGATAAAGTTCAAACTAGCATAACTCTATATAGATTACTGGTAAAACTTTGTGGACTGTATAGCAAGTTTTGGAGTGGAGTTAGTGCACTCTACAGAAGTAAACCGCGTGGAAATTGTACGGAACCGTTTGATAACCTTTTTTAGTTGCTTCAAAGTTGTATGATTATAATTTTGAACTACACTCTAGTTGAGCTTTTTAATGCGTTTTATTCAATGCTTTCATTAAATTGATTTTAAATCGATATTCATGTGTAGAGCTTACAAGCTTTCAAAATTGCCAGACTGTAAATATCTGTGGGACTAATTCAACGTAAAATTATTGAACCTTTTATTATTAGGTATTAGCTATTTAGCATTAAATCCTACGGGTTTTGTAAAGAAAAATAACCTTCAGGTGAAGGTCTGAGTGGCAAAATCATGTACCAACTAAGAGTACAT